GGACAATCTTTAACAGTTGATATTTTAAGCTTGCTCAAATAGACCTTGTGTTGGATGTGCTAAGATTGAGGATGATGGAATTATGAATGCGTGCATGCAGGTGTCTGAGATTGCTTCAGGGAGAGGGAAGGTGAACTGAGTGAAAAATGATGTTTTGCAATTAAACTTTAGTTCTTATTAGAAAAAACAGCATCAGAACGCTATCTGGTCGTGTTCTGCCTCACCGTACTTAGGACCCTCTTTTAGATCCGGACCTCAGGAGGATGTTTCTCCAGATGACACCTTGGCTGACAGAGAAGACGAAGGTGTGCGACGGTCCAGTCCAGAGTTGACCTCGGTACACGTTGCTGACGCGTTTCGGCAGATGCGCTTTCTCAAGTTTAAATTAACTCAGAAATCAAAAGACTCTGGGACGAGTCTGCGTTAGCGGGTTGCATTTCAGCTATTCTGTCTGGCTTGACAGAAATAGCGTGGTGGGAGAAAAGGAGCCTGCCGGGCTCCTTTCCCCGTGGCGATCGTTCCGCACTCCAGCTCTCATCCAAACTTACTGACTCCTTACCGAAACCACTTCTCTTCCCAAAGCAAACTTGTTGTGCGTCAGAGCAAATGTGTTTTGAAGTTACTGTGGATCTGGACCTGTATGAGCAGGTGTGAAGGTCATCGTTAAACATCTTCAAAAACATTATTTAATTAAGTATTGATTCATTATAGTTCATTATGATTACCCAAAGCATAATAATCATTCATTTGATTAAAATACATTTATAATGAGCAAAGTGATAATAATGATTATTTAACATTAATAAAATACAGAAGCTTAAGACTCTGTTTTATTATCACTAGGCTGTGTGTGAAGTCCTTCTTCTGGAGATGCAGGTGTTTAGCTGTTGTGGAGTCCTTCAGACTTGCTGGTGGCTTAGGTCTTAATCTGTGGGTGAAGGTGCTGCGTGACCCAGCTTTGACCCAGCCGGGCAAATACGACCTTTGGCACAGAAACCCATACTTCCTCATGTTACATCACGTTACGTTGGTCCAGGCAAATCTTTCTGTTGGAAAGATGGACAACTTTTTCAAAGAAATCCATCATTACCTCTTTGAAAATACACTTTTAGCATAGAGCTGCATGTATATTAGGGCTAACGATTGCTGCATGTGCAATTAAATTGCGATGTGACAAAAGGAGGTTTTCTAATCACAAAGGCTGCAATTTGGCAGCAAGTGGTTAGCGCAATGCTAATATACGTGGAAAAACCCATAGGAATGCTAATGCTAACATCACCGATTACATTATTACAAATTGGGAATTAGAAACGTGCTAAATGATTACATTTGGAGTCTAATAGAAAGTAAAACTACCATCAATCAAATAAGTACATACAGGTATTTTAGTAAAGCCAGAAAACTTTAAACTCCAGGGTTTTGGCTGGCAGCTATGAGTGTAACTGAACTACGCATGGACAAGACGTCAAAAACTCTAAACACAAAATACTTCAATAAACGGGACACACTTCTTTCCTGCAAATACAATTTCACAGGTGTTGCTAATACCTATGATCCTTCAAGGGATGGGCTCAAAGAGGAGTTCAACATTATGAATACAATATAGTGTTTTATTTTACAAATACCATTATAAACACAAACTTACGTCTTAAAAAACATTTTAATAATGAAACTGCTAAATTCTTTCCAACAGTATAGATGTGTAGTGTATTTTGTCCAAGTGGGTTTGCCGTACTTTGACGTCATCGGCAGTGGAAGGACCCCGAGCCGATCTTGCACCCGAGCAGATCCTGTACCGACACCGGCAGGCCAAGTGGAATGTGGCCCGGGTGGTCACAGAGGCAAAAACCTGTGCGTGGGAGTAGTTTGATGTGACCATGGAGCCAGACTACCCTACGGCTTTAAGGAGATTTTAGTCCACAAGCCAGCGCCTCAGTAGGGGAAAACAGTGTGCCACCAAGACTGTTTGTAGTGGGGATGGTGTGCTGCTGACCTCTACTCTGGACGTTGAGGATTGGTGGGCAGAGTACTTCAAATACCTCCTCAATCCCACCAGCACATCCTCCAGTGAGGAAGCAGAGTCCAGGGACTTTGGGTTGGGCTCTCCAATCTCTGGTGCTGAGCTCACAGAGGTGGTCAAAAAGCTTTGTCGCAAGGCCCCTGGGGTGAATGAGATCCGCCCAGAGTTCCTTAAGGCTCTGAATGTTGTGGTGTTGTGTTGGCTGACGCAGCTCTGCAATACATCGGGGGCAGTTCCACTAGATTAGTAGATCGTGGTGGTGGTGCTCCTATTTAAAAGGGGGGACCGCAGAATGTGTTCCAATTACAGGGGGATCACACTCCTGAGCCTCCCTGGTACGGTCTATTCAGGGGTTCTGGAGAGGGTGGTCCGGAGGACTGTCGAACTTTGGATTCAAGAGGAACAATGTGGTTTTTGTCCCTGCCATGGAACACTGGACCAGCTCTACCCTTAGGGTGGCCCTGGAGGGTGCGTTGAAGTTAGCCCAACCTATCTACATGTCTTTTGTGGATTTGGAGAAGGCGTTCGACCACGTCCCTCGGGAGGTCCTTTGGGTGGTACTTCAGGAGTATGGGGTACCAGACCCTCTGATACAGGCTGTTAGGTCCCTGTCTGACCGGTGTCAGAGTGTGATGTAACTGGGATGAGAATCAGCTTCTCTAAATCCGAGACCATGGTCTTGAGTCGGAAACGGGTAGAATGCCTTCTCCGGGTCAGGGATGAGGTCCTGCCTTAAGTGGAGGAGTTTAAGTATCTCGGGGTCTTGTTCACGAGTGAGGGAAAGCGGGAACATGAGATCAACAGGCAGATTGATGCTGAGTCTGCAGTGATGCGGGCATTGCACCGGTCTGTCGTGGTGAAGAGAGAGCTGAGCCGGAAGGCAAAGCTCTTGTTTTACCAATCGATCTACATTCCTACCCTCACCTACAGTCACGAGCTTTGGGTAGTGACTGAAAGAATGAGATTGTGGATTCAAATGGCTGAAAAGAGTTTTCTCCGCAGGGCCGCTGGGCTCTCCCTCAGAGATAGGGTGAGAAGCTCGGTCACCCAGGAGGGGCTCAGAGTAGACCCGCTGCTCCTCCTCATCAAGAGGAGCTAGTTGGTGTTGCTCAGGCATCTAGTTAGGATGCCTCCTGGGCGCCTTCCTCGTGAGGTTTTCCGGACATGTCCAACTGGGAGAAGGCCTAAAGGAAGACCCAGGACAGGCTGGAGAGACTATTGGGCCATTCTCATCTGTACCGGGTCGGCCCGGGCCGGGTAGCGTAGGTTGTTTACATATCTGGGTGGCCTGGTATTTTTCCGGGCCAACCAAGGCTCATTCTCAGCCCTCTTCTCGAGGGGGTCTGCTTCAGGCCGACCAGGGCCAACACACCCACTGCTGACAGCAAATTCACACCTTCCATTAGAGCAAGCCTCTGATTGGTGGGTAGAATCAGCCCACATGGGCTTAAGACAAGGATGTGTGGAATCAACCGGGCCAGGATGGGGCCGACTGGGGCTACCCGGCCCGGGCCGACCCGGTACAGATGGGAATGGCCCATAAGTCTAACGGCTGGCCAGGAAACACCTTAGGATTCCCCCGGAGGAGCTGGCCCAAGTGGCTGGGGGGAGGGAAGTCTGGGCCTCCATGCCTAGGTTACTGCCCCATGACCTGGCCCCAGACAAGTGGCCGAAAAGGGATGGATGGATGGATGGATGGATGGACAAGTATTTGTCCAACATCCTTACCCAAGATTTCATGCTGAAATTAGCACAACTAAAGTTTGGATTTAGAGTTGCATCCACCTATAATCTGACCATTGAGCAATGGGCACATAAGTGACAGGACAGGGGCAAACATGGTAGCCAATCAGATTTCAGCAGGCCAAAGCCCCTAGGACCCCACCCTTAGAATCAATGGAGTCACTTCAATCAGGTTCAGGATTCACTGATGCTGTGTTCATGTCTGGTCGTTCTTGTCGTATCGACTTCCCGTTGGACATTTCCCCTTGACGGCTGTCCACCAACACAATAAACAAGCCATGACAGCCTACAGAGGACACTTTTGTGTTTCTGTGCAGGGAGTTTGGTCAGCTGGCCTACGAGCTGTTGGACCAGTCATATAAGCATGATGAGCAGCTGGCCATGAAACTCTTGACCTATGAACTGAAGAACTGGAGCAACTCCACCTGTCTAAAGCTCGCTGTAGCAGCCAAACACAGAGACTTCATCGCCCACACTTGCAGCCAGATGCTGCTGACAGACATGTGGATGGGCTGTCTGAGGATGGGCAAGAGCAACAGTCTCAAGGTACCAACAAGGCATTTTACGCTGTTAACATATAAAGCATGGAACTGCTCAACCTGTCCCTCCTTACCTGTGCCCAGGTGATTTTAGGGATCATCTTGCCTCCTGCTATCCTACTTTTGGAGTTCAGACTGAGAGAAGAAGCTTCACACCACTCATCCAAACAGAACAGCAACGATAAGACCAAAGATGACGAAAAACTAAACAAGGTGCCAAACTGACAACACGACCCGTGTTGGTGACCTCCCAGGAGTTTTAGTAACTCAGTCTCGTTTCAGGATACTGCTCCAAACGCTGATGTTGTGTCAAAGACAGGAGACGAAGAAGAAAACCTGAAGAAGAACTCAAAGGTTCCTGTTGGGAAGAAGATCTACGAGTTCTACAACGCTCCTTTCACTAAATTCTGGTTCAACACGGTGAGGTCACTTTTCTTAGTAACTGGTGGAGTCTGTAAAATCCAGCAGAACTGCTGATAGTTTGAAGAAGAAGAGCTGAGCTCATCCTCAACCTACTTGTAACCATGTTGGATTGTCAGAGTCAGCGGTAAATGAGGCGAACTGTGTTTGTGTGTGTCAGATCTCCTACCTGGCCTACCTCATGCTTTATAACTACATCATCCTGGTGAAGATGGAGCGCTGGCCCTCTCTACAGGAGTGGATCGTCATTTCCTACATCATCACTTTGGGACTGGAGAAAGTCAGACAGGTAAACCCAGTCATAGACACACCTGATGTAACGAGATCCACTTCAGGATCATCGGACACGTTTGCCAGAGGGGGAGCAGGGAGGACGCATCGCGTCTCATAAATTCGTCTGTTCCAAAGATGCAGTTGACCACTTTTAGCTTCAAACAAAAACATTTAAAATCGACACATATGTTGAAATCTGGATATAAACACAGTGGTTTTAAAATAAATGATTAGATCAACTAGATTGATCCTACCAAAATAAAAGCATTTGTGTAGATATCCTATCAAAGACTTCAGAGTCTTCTTTGTTTGTGTCTATGTCAGATCCTCATGTCAGAGCCTGGGAAGCTGAAGCAGAAGATCAGCGTGTGGTTGGAGGATTACTGGAACATCACCGACCTTGTGGCTATCTCCGTCTTCCTGCTGGGCCTCCTGCTGCGGCTCCAGAACGAACCCTACATGGGCTACGGACGTGTCATCTACTGTGTCGACATCATCTTCTGGTACATCAGAGTCCTGGACATCTTTGGAGTCAACAAGTACCTGGGTCCATACGTCATGATGATCGGAAAGATGGTAGGAGGCCAGTCAGAGCTCAGTCTGATTTTAGGGTTCAGGGATTCTAATGTGAAAACGAAAGCTCATAAAGGAACGTACCAGGATGTAAGAGTGAGAGTAACACAGTGCTGTAACACTGTGGCACACTCTCAGGAACTAAGGACACACCCTTTGAACCTTTAGGGCATAAGACCTGTTCCTGTTCCCTCAGCTGGGGGTGCTTGTAAAGAGCACCCTCAACCTAAACTCGCCCCCCTACTTGTTTCTAGATGATTGACATGTTGTACTTCGTGGTCATCATGTTGGTGGTGTTGATGAGCTTCGGTGTAGCTCGCCAGGCCATCCTCCACCCAGACGAAGAGCCCACATGGCGACTGGCTCGGAACATCTTCTACATGCCCTACTGGATGATCTACGGAGAGGTGTTTGCAGACTCCATAGACCGTAAGACTAGCGTCCATAGTAAGACACCTATTAGTTTCCCCTCAGTCTTCCCCTGTCTTTTGTCCCTGTCCTCACAGAGCCTCCCTACTGCTTCCCATTTGTCTACCCCAATGTCCTTCTCTTCGATCTCCTCTTGTATTCTCCATCTTCACGCTAACTTTCCCTCCACATCTTCCACATGACCTCCCTTTTTGCTCTCGTGTCTTCTCTGTTGTCCATCATCATCTACCCTATCATCTACCAGCTCAGTGGCCTAGTGGTAGAGTGTCCACCCTGAGACTGGGAGATCAGGGTTCGATTCCTGGTCGGGTCATACCAAAGACTTTGAAAAAATGGGACCCAATGCCTCCCTGCTTGACACTCAGCATTAAGGGGTTGGATTGGGGGGTTAAACCACCAAATGGTTCCCGAGCGCGGCTGTGTCTGCAGCTCACCGCTCCGCCAGGGGATGGGTCAAATGCAGAGAACCAATTTCGCACACACATCAGTGTGTGTGACAACTAATGGGACTTTAACTTTAACTTTAATTGCCCCATCTCTTCAAGATGACCTCATTCTGTTTCTCCCTAAACCTTCTCCCTTGTCTATTAACCTCCCAAAGACCTTCCCATGTCGTCCCCACGACCTCCCCCTCTACTGATCATTTGTCTTTCATGTCTTCAGAATCTGATCATTAAAGTTTTTAAGCTTTTTAGCTCATTTATAGAAATGAAGTGAGCTTTGTTATCTGACCATGTTCATGACGTTTGCTGAAAATTTATTCGTAACTTCTACTTTCTTCATCATGAAGTCTTCTGACTGTCCTCCACTTGTCCCCTCTGCTGCTGATGGACAGTTTATGCCATGGAGATCAACCGTGAGTTAATCTGAGCATCTGCGCGCACACACACACACACACACACACACACACACACACACACACACACACACACACACACACACACGCACACACACGCACACACACAGTCTCAGACCTAACTGACCCTTTTAAACACAAGCTTTTCACAATAAAAGCCTTTATATGTCCACATGTGTGCATGCATACATCAGTGTGTGTGTGTGAATTTGTGTGTCTCAGCTCCTTGTGGAGAAAACATGTATGATGAAGACGGGAAAAAACTTCCTCCCTGTATTCCTGGAGCCTGGCTGACCCCGGCCATCATGGCCTGTTACCTCCTGGTGGCCAACATCCTGCTGGTCAACCTGCTGATTGCTGTCTTCAAGTAAGTGCACTGATCTCAGACCAGCTACCAGGAACTGCTGGGTCAGTTTTTTTCCACAGGAACTCACACCGCCCTCTTGTTCCTCTGCAGCAACACCTTTTTTGAGGTCAAATCCATCTCAAACCAGGTGTGGAAGTTCCAGCGATACCAGCTGATCATGACCTTCCACGACCGTCCCATCCTGCCGCCCCCCCTCATCGTCTTTCCCCACATCTACATCGTGCTGAAGAGGCTGTGCTGTAACTGCAGGTGGAAGCCAGAGGGGGAACGTGACGACCGCGAGAGGCGACTCCGTAAGAAACACAGTCCCCAGAACTGGTTCTGATAGAACCTTCAGTCATAACGAGCTACCAACTCACCAACTGCTGGAAGTGACCCAGAACATAAAAACATCTTCAGTGTAAGGTTTTTATCACATCAGGAATGTTTCTGTGACCAGAATCTAGAGCAATCGTCTAAAAGAAAGTCTCCGATATTTCGGACTGATTTAATATTCACCAGCCAAAGGACAGACTTGCTCTGAGTCTTAAGACGTTGCACCACCTCTGGCCCGGTTAGATGTGACCGAGGTTCGTTATTCTGCTGAACACCAACACCCTTTATTTTCAGAGCTGGTTCTGAACGATGAAGAGCTGAAGAGTCTGCACGAGTTTGAGGAGCAGTGTGTGGAGGAATACTTCAGAGAAAAAGAAGACGAGAAGCAGTCGTCCAACGACGAGCGAATCCGAGTCACGTCTGAGAGGTCAGGACCACACGCTGCTCAGCTGGGACTCAGACAGCTGAAGAGTTTAAACATCAGTAACCTTTATTCTCTGATGAAGATGAGTCTCAAAAAAATTGAATGTTTTTCTACCGATTCTAATTATCTTTGAATCAAAACCATTAATAACCTGATGGATAAACTGTAGAAGAGTAATGAGAACCAAGACCATTAGAAATGTTAAAGCTGCAGCAAGTGTCTAATCAGGGTCACCAGTTGACTGTTGGTTCGGAAAGCCTCTGCTGTGTCTTCAGGGTGGAGAACATGTTCATGCGGCTGGAGGAAGTTAATGAGCGGGAGCACTCCATGAAGGCGTCTCTGCAGACGGTGGACCTCCGCCTGGCTCAGCTGGAGGAGTTCTCCGGCCGGATGATGAACGCTCTGGAGAAGCTGGCCGGTGTGGACCGGGCCGAGCTGGTCCGTACATGCTCCAGAGCCTCCTCTGTGTGTGAGCCGTCCTCTCTTCTGCGCCACGGCAGCATCAACAGCACCGATGGGTACAGCCTGTACCGGTACCAGCTGGACCACGAGGAAAGGACCGGAGACCTGGAGGACAAAAGAGGACATCCGAGTCCAGACAGAAAGGCTGGAAACTTGGATGGAGGAAACACAACAGGTAGGTCCAGAACCGGGCTTGGGTCAGTGTCAGCACCTTGAAGCTGGGTCCAAAACTGCATCAGACACCAAGTTCTGGTTCGAAATGGTTTGCTAACTGGTGCAAGCATCAGTTTACAGAACCAATCAGAGTTTTACCTTCACATTTTCTCAAATTATGTTGGACCTCACTGATCCACCTGCAGAACCGACACCAGAATAAAGACTCTGGCTGAAGCTAACCTCTTTTTCCAGGTGATCTGAAGGATGTTGTGTCCACTCTTGAGGTTGGAGGTCTAAAGAGCAGGACTCAGTCTCTGTCCAATGTGGACATCCTCATCTCTCCCTGTGACCCTGACCACAAGCCCCCCCATTCCAGGTCCGGTTCCTCTCAGGCTGACCAGAAGGACCTTGACAAATCAGTAGAAAAAATCCCACTGGAGACTGCAGATTCCTTTCTTCAGGAGAGGTCAAAGGTCATGCAATTTTTGTCGTCACCGATCCGTGGCAGCAGGAACTCTCTCGGCAGCATCGTTTGCAGCCCTGACCAGCAGGACCAGGAGGGTTCTGGTGGTCAGGGCACAGAACAGTATAGACTGGACAAGTCCAGGATGACCTGTGAGAAACCAGGAGAAGGGACAGAGGGCAGTAACCACGGCAACAACAACGAAGAGGAGGGGCTGCTGGTGGGCGAAGGCAGGATGTACCCGACTCTCCGCTCCAAGAGTGTCAGCGCCAACCCGAGGAAGACGAGGATGAAGAGGCCAGAAGACGAAGAGAAACCTCGCTCGGCGGGCAGCGTCAGAGACCTGGTGTCGGTGTTCAGGGGGCGCCAGGCGGTCCCGGACTAGAACCAGGTCATTTAGTTAGTGTTTGTGTTCAGAACAGTATTCATTATAAAGTTTATAACACAGGAATTTTATCTTTATCTCAGTGAAGATTCTAGATTTTAAAATAGAAATTTTCTTTTATTGTATCATAAAGTAAAACAACTGCTTTCATTTTAAATACATGTACTTTTTAAAATAAGAACTAAAGTTGCTGTAAAGTTATTTTCCATATTTTAATAAACAAAATGAAATGAAAAACGTATTTTTAATCAAAGCACATTTTTTTATTGAAAGAATAGTTTTTGGACATTAAATGGAAGCAGGAGAACCGAGAACCTGCCTGCCATCTTAAAAACACAAACGTAAATAAAACATGTAAACAAAAATGTTTAAATAAATAAAACATGTGGATAAAAAATGTAAGCATGGTCACACAAAATGTGAGGATTATGGACATTCACGCTTATGTTACACATACATAGAGCTTTTATTGCCCCCTAGTGGCACTTGTTTTCACACCAGTAGTATTTACAACACAACAAATAAAACAAAACATACATGAAATCATTTAAAGTCTCAACGCTGCAGCGTTGGTGCTCCTGCAGCTTGGCGACAGGTATCTGCATCTGAACGCTGGCGACCTGAACTCACCGTGAAGAGGGTGAGCCAAATCAGCCAGGATCAGTCTGGCCTTTGATACCAACCTAGTCAGACCAGGTCGGACCTGACTGGACTAGATCTAGTCTAGTCTGACATGGGCCAATTAAAGTTTGAACCTTCGGATGAAGTTAAATGTCAATAAAGACTCAAGAATAAAACATTGTCATAAGAGTCAAATGAATATAAAAACACAGAACTTTCTATAGAAGTGAACTTTCTTCCAAAGTGTGATGGTCAAAGGTCAGCCAGTCATTCAGAATAGTACCCAGGTATTTATACAGGTTTACAGGTCCAACCTCTTCTCCAGAAATGTATGGAGCGGTATGGGGGCCAAAATTAAGACTACTGCCCAGCAGCAGGAGGCTATATAAATTCTGAAGCAAACTACTGATCTGATTAATGATAAGCTGGCGCCGGTAACTGAGAGGCTGGTGCTGCTTACTGAGGAATAGCACCTTTACCGGCATTACTACTAGATACGCTAGGGACTAGCAGCTCTCGGCTGGTCATTGACTGGTTCAAACACTCCTTCTGCTGTCTATTAGCATGGATAGGCTAGTGTTAGCCTGGACGGGCTGGTGTTAGCATTGGAGAGGCTAGCCATTAGCATGTCTCGGAGAGTCACTAGTTAGCTAGTGGCCAGCCTGGGCACGCTAATGGCTAGCCTCTCCGATGCTAACACCAGCCCGTCCAGGCTAAAGCTAGCCTATCCATGCTAATAGACAGCAGAGGGAGTGTGTGAACCAGTCAATGACCAGCCGAGGTCTGCTAGTCCCTAGCGTATCTAGTAGTAATGCCGGTAAAGGTACTGCTTACTGATGAATAGCACCTTTACCGGCGTTACTACTAGATACGCTAGTAAGCAGCACCAGCCTCTCAGTTACCGGCGCCAGCTTATCATTGATCAGGTCGGTAGTTTGCTTCAGAATTTATATAGCCTCCTGCTGCTGGGCAGTAGTCTTAATTTTGGCCCCCATACCGCGCCATAGAAACGAGCACAGGCTGGGTGACTCTGCCGCATTTGCTAAAATAAATGACCAGCTCCACTGGACCCAGAGAACTCGTCCCAGACACCTCGTTCCAGACCACTGGACACAGAGAACTGGTTCAGAGATCACCTCTGCTGAGGAGGGTCAGGAGGACATCAGCCAATTCTAATCTTCAGTCCAGCCCGACCCGGTCTGGTCTGTTCTTAACCAAACAGCAAATCAAACTGGAGCTGATGGGTTTTCTCAAATCGGACATTAATTTGTCCTCAGCTGAGAACCTTTCAGCTAATTGGTTTGTGTTTAAAACAACAAACAAAAATAACTGAACAGACCTTATAAAGTGCTTTCTGATAAAGGATGTTTTTCATATGGTAGCTCTGAAGGGTCAAATCCTTTTGAAAAGCTCTGATTTAGAAAAATAATGAAACCAAAAACATCAGATGAAAAATACAGCTTTGGTGTGCAGCCGCCTTTCATCCATCTCAGTGAAAACTGAATCTGATCTTTCTGTGTCCATTAGAGTCTAAAACCCAACAAAAAGGCAAAGACAATCGTTGTATTTCTCTAGGAGTAATGTCTTTTTCCAGGAGTTGGTTTTGTTCTTCAGATGTTGGTGGTGGAGTGTGTGGTGGAGAAGTTGTCCATGCGGAATCGAACCACCTTTCCATTGGATGGTGGAGGGTACGACAGGGAGCGGGTGAAGACACGTCTGCAAGCTGTGCGGAAATTCTCCGAGAGGAAGGCGTAGAGGATGGGGTTGACGCAGGAGTTCCCATAGGACAGGCAGTGGGAGACAATACGGAAAGCAAAGGAAGCATCATTCAGCGGGAACCTGCCAAACTCCACCCACATGGCGATGATGTGGTGAGGCATCCAGCAGATGGTGAATGCGGCGACAACCAGAAGGATGGTCTGAACAGTCTGAGAGGAAGAAAACATGAGAGCATCAATCACCGAGCTACAACAACATGATCTGATGGTAAAGATGAAGTCCTTCAGACCGATCCAAACCTCTACAGTAGAGGGTCCTCCCCCAGAACCATCTGTCAGACCCTAAAGCAGTTCAGCAGTGGCTCCTAAAAACTTTGACTTGACCTCCAAACACGGTAGATTCAGTATGCAGTAAAATGTCAGACAAACTCATTCTGCAAAGGTTCCTCACCAGAGGAACCCACTGAGAAATATCTGGTTCTGTTTAGGACTCAGAACTGATTTGGTGCCAAAAAAAATAACTAAACTAAATGTTAGTAAAAACAAGTTGGATCTAATCGGCTCTGTGTTTCCTTTTCTGTGGTTTGTTTGAATCATCTCTATAAATATCTTCATCTGTGTAACAGAGACATGCAGCTCCAGCTGTGTCCATGTCCCTCTGTCCCTATCTGGTCTCACCAAGTCCGCTCTGACCCAGAATTCATCTTTATTTAATAAGATTTGTGTTTTAGCTGTTTTAATTATCTCTGACTAAATTAATTACCGTAAATCCTCTAATATTAGCCTGAATTTAATTAACTGCCGGGTATCATATTTTGGCCTGTGTCGGAGTCGGTGGAGGTGAATAATGGCCGTTTTTTTTTTATTGTGGCCGGGTGGAATATGGTAACAAGCAAGTACGAGGGGCGGTTGTGTCATCCGTCTCACTTTTGATTTGCCAGTGATAGACCACGAGGGTAACTTTAACCGTGCGGAGACGAAGAGGAGGCGAAAATTTGATATCAAGTTCAAAAAGAACGTGCTGATTATGCTGCAGAACACTCTGGGAAGCAGTAGCAGGGGTTGTATGAACTAGTCACTAGTCGACTTTACCGCTCTATAGTGACTTTTTATGCCTGTCATCGACTAGTCGCTGTCACGTGATAATGACCGGCAAGATGCAGTCCACGGAAAAGACAGCAGCCTGCTGTCAGCAGGTGACAAGCTCCTGCGCTCGGGGGGGGGGGGGGGGGCAAGGCGCTGTGCCAGAGCGTCGGTGCTGACACCCGCCGTAAAACAGACATTTAACCAAATTGTGACCTTTACCCTCTTGCAATTTAACCTTCCCCTCACCCCATCCTAACCTTAACCAGCTTGCGCATGCAAAGCTCTGATTGTTGACGCGCTCCAGACATCTGCATCCTGAGCACGGCCACAGTAACATTATCAAATCAGGTGTCGCCACCTCAAAAACAAATTTAACACGCGATCGTTCATGTCGGCTCATTTCCTTTTATGTTTTCTGTCTTTTATTCTTTTATTTGTGCCTGATGCTTTTCGCTGCTGTGGAGCAGAGCGCATCACCTGTTTTGTCCTCAGTGACGCACCTCACCGGTGCGGCCGGCGAGCACTCCGCTGTTTTTGCGGTCGGTAGGTCTTTTAGAACTGCAGTTCAAAGGTAACTCATAAGGTGAATATATATGAACCCAGGTAGCAGTTTCTCTTTAGGATTGAGAGGAGATGCAGGAAGATAATAAACAGAGACAGGACAGAAAAACAGTCAAATAAAAACAAGTTAGTTTTTGTACCTGGTGGTTGCAACAAACAGACACCATTGAAGGTAATCAGAAGTGAGGAACAGAAAATGAAATAATTATTTTAATGTTTAGAGCAGCAGGAACTCTGAGAGGCTGCAGGCGCATCAGTGAGTTTGCGGCCGCTGCACAGGGGGAGGGAGGAGAGGGCTGAAGCAGAAACTACCGTTGTTAAAAGAAATGTGTTTAACTTTGAAAATGTGGGCGCAATTTTAATTGTCAAAAACTCCAGCGAACCATTAGTTCATTTTGCTCAAATAGAAATTGAGGCCTGCCTCTAATTCTGGTCCTCCTTCCAATAAAGGCCTGGAGCTTGATGAGCTTGAGTCAAATACAGACTCGGGCCTGTATTAGAGGATCTACAGTATTTGCTAATTTGATCATTTAGTTCTGATTTACAACCAGAAACCTTTCAGCTTAAAGCAGATAAAACTCTTGATATATCAGAGTCAGTCCAGTAGAACCTGTCCAGAAGTCCATCACGGCCAGCCTAGAGGCTGAAGGCAGAGATTAATGTCTTGATTTGATGAAATTTGGTATCTTGTTCCTCCATCACGGAGCCACAGAGGAGATCCATCTGGACTTAAACCACCTTGTTTGTGGGGCTGGCAAAACCAGAAGAGGTGGCTGAGAGGAACCCAGTTGTCCAGAAGAACCAGGAAATACTGCAGGCCCAGATGTCTCTCTGTAGGAACACCAGGGACCTGGATCTGGATCAGGAAGCCATGCAGAACCAGTGGAGCTTGTAAGGATTTGGGTCGATGGTACAGCTCCAACAGGTTTTGGATCTTCTGCTGGGGGTTCACAGAGCTGAGGGATAACTGGGACCAAATCAAGGTGGTTCTACTCCTGATGGATGGAACCAGAACTAGGAGACAGAGACTGATCAGAGAAGAGCACACACACACACACACACACACACACACACACACACACACACACACACACACACACACACACACACACACACACAATGGTTCCACTCATATTTGGCAAATAGGTCATTCAGTGTGCAGATGGGAGACTGTGCCTCCCCCTGTTTTCCGTTGAACTGAGGGGGTGCCACAGGGTTTTTTCTTGGAGCCCCTCCTATTTTCCAATTTTTTCCTCCTTTTGGGAAAGATTTTTGAGAAGTATGGCATCAGCTATCATAACTACGCTGATGATTGTCAGATCTACTTGGCAATGAGTGGGCCAAGCACAGGTTTACTGATATCAGATTGTCTCGCTGATGTGAAGAAATGGTTTGCTGCAAATTTCCTCAAACTGAATGAGTCCAAGACTGAGTCACTTTTAACCTTAGAAACCTCTCTCACACTTCATCTGATTAGGTTCTTAAACACAAACAGACATATAACCCTGGCCCTGGCGCATCTCCATTGGTTTCCCGTGACTTTCAGGGTATGATCCATCCATCCATCCATTTTCATCCGCTTATCCAGAGTCGGGTCGGGGGGGTAGTAGCCTAAGTCGAGAGGCCCAGACTTCCGTCTCCCCAGCCACTTGGGCCAGCTCCTCCGGGGAAATCCCAAGGCATTCCCTGGCCAGGTGAGTGACACTGTCCCTCCAGCGTGTCCTGGGTCTACCTTTAGGTCTCCTCCCTGTTGGACGTGCCTGGAAAACCTCACCAGGGAGGCGTCCAGGAGGCATCCTGATCAGATGCCCGAGCCACCTCAACTGCCTTCTCTCGATGTGGAGGAGCAGCGAATCTACTCCGAGCCCCTCCAGGATGTCCGAGCTTCTCACCCCATCTCTGTGGAGAAAACTCATTTCGGCCGCTTGTATCCGAGATCTCGTTCTTTCGGTCACTACCCAAAGCTCATGACCACAGGTGAGGGTAGGAACGCAGATCGACCGGTAAATCGAGAGCTTCGCAGATTGAAGATCCTACTCTTTGTATTTAGCATTGAATGCTCTTGCACCATCCTACCTGTCTGATCTGCTCATGCCCTTTGTGCCTCACTGAGACCACTACTCTGCACTCCAGCCATGAACTATAAAGCAAGCGGGGAGACGACCTTTGTGTATGCAGCCCCCATCCTCTGGAATGCTCTACCCATCACAATTTCATAGTCATCATCCGTTGCTGTCTTCAAGCCACTTCTATGGTTTGGCTGTTGGTCAGTGACTCCTTTTAGTATTTGTTTTTGTTTCCTCTCTCTTAATGTTCGTATTTACTGTTTTTATCTGTTTTTAAATAGTCTTTGTAGAGCTTTGGTCAGCTCCCATGTGGTTTTAAAATGCTGTCTATAAATTAAATGGTATGGTATGGCACACACACACACACACACACACACACACACACACACACACACACACACCAACACCATGACGTCCGTGTAAAGCTGTTTGCTGAGTCTCCAGGAGCCGATTCTAATTCTTCACATTAATAAATGTGTCTCACCTAATAAAAAGTGTGATTTATGACCTGGTGTTTGCTTTGCAGCTTTAATTAAAGCTTCTCTGCAGGAACAGAACCATAAACTGGTTCTGAATATTACAGCAGCTCTAATGAAACCTACTGTGTTTGCTGGTGCCTCCTCTGGAGGAGATCTGATGGTCTGCTGCTCTACCACTCTGTGAATGAAGACGCTGAGGGAACCTTCTCTATTCTTAGTCCTCCTGTCTAAATATTTACCCAGCAGCCTTTGTTCCTTTGGGATGACTAGAGGAGCAGCAGATCCTCTGCTGTAAACTGTTGGTCTGAAATCTGCTGCAGGACGTCTGCACACTGTCGCCTGCCAGCCTTACCCACTCCAGTCGGGTAGGACCGGTACCAAGGGGTTCTGTGTGGGTCTGAATCATGTGACTTACTGATTTTTAAAGGATGCAGAGTTGGATTAGATCTGAATTAGGGGTTAAAACTTCTTTTTCATTCGTATTTGAGAGAAAATGATAAATTACCATCAGGATTATTTTAGGAGGCATGACATCATGATCCTCTGAGTGATTTTAGAGCTCAAAGAACATACAATCTGTTTAAGTGTTTCATTAAACACAGATTAACATCCAGGAAGTCACATCTCCGGCAGCTTCACTAAAATCTTGCCCATGAAGGCATTTGGAACCTTTAAATCCCCCAGCGATCTCTCTCCCCACGCCCCGAGATCGATTATCGTCACTGAACCTCACATATTTCTTTAAAAATCAATTCTATCTGTGAGATCTGGAAAACATCTGTCAAAGGCCGCCGACACGTTTTCCAGACGTGGTCTCTGGTTGGTTCGGTACACTTCCACTGTCTCGCTTCCAACTTCCAAATGTCACCGAAGGTGTACCACAAGGCTCTGTTTCAGCACCCACTACTTTTTATATTTATTATTCAGGAGATAATGATGCATTTCTATAATGATATAATTTATCATCATGCTTGAGTTGTACTTTTTTAAATGTTTTATTTTTTGTGATCTGATTTGATGTTCTTTACCTGACAGATCTTCATAAAGTAAAAAACGAATTTGTCTCCAAACAGAAAAATATGGCAGCAAGTTTACCATTTATTCCAACCTGCCAAGCCTTTTTATGGGAATATAATTATCTTGGCATTGCAAACAATGAATCTGTTCCTTTTCATCTTCATATTAGACTTTACCTAAAACTTGATTTTCATTTGATGAACAGCTTTGTTGTTAAAGCCAGAACTTACCCTGAGATATCCACTTTCTACATAGCTTCGTGTTTAACTTTTCAAATGCCCGCCGAAGGGAAAACAATGATTGGTGTCTCTTATTTAGACACGTTAAGGCTCGTTTTGATCCAAAAGTAAAAACCAAAGTAGTAAGAGGAGGAGGAGGATACCTTTCTTTTGGAGTGCTCAGACTTCTTAGACATGTTCTTCATTTTTTTATGAAGGTGACATAAAATCTGCAGAGATAAAAAAAAAAAAAACAAAGAAAGTAGATGTTTACTTTATCTGCCATCAGTTTATGGATCAAAAACAAAAACTGAGAATTAGAAACAAGCTGAGAACAAACTGCAGTTGATCACATGACCACAGGAAGTGCCAGAGATTCATGGCCTTAGATATTGTATAGTCTAAACAGTCAGCTGAATAAAGATCATAGCTCTATCCACAACCAGGATGTTGAAGCAGAAGCAAGCCTGCACCCCCTAGGGGCTGGTTCCAGTACAAGATTCAAGCCCTGCAGCCTTTATAGAGGGGGTGGGGCTTAACATTTGTAATGGCACCAACTAGGGTTGGAGCCTCAACCTCTTGTCCAGTAATCATGTATGAAGTCTGCAAAATGGCAGCTTCTTGTAATCTAATGGCTTCACTTTTCAACAACAGAGGAGTGCAGAGCCTCTTGTCTGTTTTTACCTCTAAGGCTCAAATAAACATGTCCAATTTAAAAAAAAACATCACACAAATTATGAGGGGTGGGACTTCTTCAGTCATAGGTGAGCTCTAATGCACATTTAGGTTACTTTCGCAATAAAAGCACAGGTTTATGGAATCAATGTCTACATTTTCATCTCATCACAACACAACTTGATCACTGCTAGATCTTTTCACTAAAATTTAAGTCTGAGTCACAATGGAATCAAGTCTAATCCACTGTTTGGATTTCCATCAGTATTCTGGGTTAGAAACCAACAAGTGATCATGTTCTGCATGGATAATCTGATGTTGGATAAAAATATGCAGAGTTAACATCTCTGAACTGATTCTTAGAATCTGTTTAAAATGAAGGAGTCCACAACCCGTTGCCATGGAGACAGATCTTCAGCTCAGAAGAGAAAGGTCCAAACCTCAGAGCTTCATATCTGAGACATGTGTAGATGTTTACTTGAACAGTTTACAACCCTATCAGGAATGGTTGTAACTCTGACCTCTGACCTCTGAGGCTCTAAGCTCAAGGGATGGGCGGGCCAGAAAAGGTTTATGTTTGACCTGTAGGCTCTTTGGTACCAGATATAGTCAGGTGCACACAGAAGTAATTTTGTCATACTTGACAATAAAAAACAAACAGGGAGGTTTTGAAACGTCACAACGGTGATTTGCGCGCGCGCGCTGCTCCAGCTGTTTTTTACGCACGCCTTTTTACGACAATCAGGACTTTGCGCGCGGCCTTTGAGCCCGGTTCTGTGTTGTTTTACAGCAGCAGGAGTCAAACATTAGCCCGGTACTGACCCGGGTGTAGCAGCAGCAGATCAGCAGCAGCGGCAGTACGAAACCCAGAACCAGGACCGACACCTTAAAGGCGCGCCTGGACGCTCCAGACCAGTTCTCCCAGCAGAAGGTGCTGTTCGGGGCTGTGGGATGGTTCGTGAGAATCTGGTGCTGGCCCACCGGTACCGAGCACGCTAGAGACAGCGTCCAGATGAGGCACACCCCGACCAGTGCTTTCCTGCGACTCCGCACGCACACGGAACTCTTGGAGCGCACCACAGCAATGTACCGATCCACGGACATGCCCGCTAGCGTAAAGATGCTGACCAGCATGCTGACGGTGTAGAAGTAGTGACCGAACTTGCAGAGGAAGGCTCCGAACACCCACTCCGGCAGAGAGTAGATGGTTGCGTGGACCGGGACGCAGAGGAGGAGGAAGCTGAGGTCCGCCAGGCTCAGGTTCACGATGAAGATGTTGGTGGGACTCAGGACCCGCTCTCCGCCGCGGTGCTTCAGGCTCCCGATCACCACCAGAACCAAGGAGTTCCCCACCACGCCCACCACAAAGATCATCCCGAATAGCACCGGTACTATCACCGCCTCCGCTCCCGGTTCGCCATCCGATGACCCGTTGACCTCAGTCTGGAAGGAGGACTCGTTTCCCGGAAGAAGCATGCTGGAGCTCCACGGGGAAGCTGGAGGGTCTCAGGACACAAGTCGGACCAGGTCCATGATCCGGATCCGACTCAGCTGGCAGCGAAGTCCGGACTCCGGAGAACTGATGGAGACACGGTAAATTAAAAGAACCATAAAGACCTACTTCCTTTGTGTGGATTTCAAACTAAAACAGCTGGAGTAGCACCATCTCTCTCTCTCTCTCTCTCTCTCTCTCTCTCTCTCTCTCTCTCTCTCTCTCTCTCTCTCTCTCTCTCTCTCTCACTCTCTCTTTCTTTCTCTCTCTCTCTCTCTCTCTCTCTCTCTCTCCCTCCCTCTCTCACACAGTTCTCTGCTTTTATTTTGAAGTCGGACTGCATTTCCAGTTCTTTAGGTAAATCCGGTTGGTTGGGGATTTTCTGACAGGCCATTGATCAGTGCGTTATCTTTGAGTTTAACAAAACTTTGAGTCAACAAGTTTTGTTGTTCTCGCCTGACCAGCGTCTAACACAGCTGATCAGACACAGGAGGATCAAAACTTCAGAGTTATGAGCTGTTGAGCCTGCTGTGGTTGTAACCGGTCTCAGGTTTCCATGAGCTAAAGCCCCTAACACAAAATCACGATGATCCAGGTCCGCACGTCCAGCATCCTGAAGGTGTTAGATGTTTTACTGCCCTAACAAACTTGGCTTGACCAGCTGGATGATTAAGAGGCTTCTGCAGAGTAAGTCATCAATCCACTGAAGGACCAGAGCTGAACACATCCTTGCGTTTAGCTCAGCTCAGCAGCTCAGAACATCAATTTTACACATAAAGTGTCTTCAGAGTCGAAATAAACCAGTCACAGGACACAGAAAGGGTTCACGGAGAGCATCTTTTAAAGCTGAACGTTTCCTGAACTTTGATTTTTGTTTTAAGTGAATCCGACATCTTACCAGAGTTTGAGACCAGAGGTTTCCAAATGTTTCAGCTCCAAAGTGTCGAACAACAACAACAACAACCTTCAACCCCACTTATCGCCGACTATGATGTAATCGCTCAAACAACTAAATGTTTATAAACTAAATGTTTTATATATAGAAAGGTTTTCCTCGGATCTTGTGATATTTTGGGCAACAATATTTTGTTAATGATCAGATTTAAGCTGAATTCCTTGCATTCCTTTCTACTGTGTTTACATCAAACAAGGAAAAGTTGTGCAACAACTTGACTGATTTTAAAGAAAAGTGCGTTTTTAGTCTGTGTTTCAGCTCTGGGAACCACCCATTTCTCTCACTTTCATTCCCACAAATTTCCTGGAACAAGGGAAGCAAGAACAGAGAAAACCAGATTACAGCACAGAAATGAAATGGATTAATGAAGGCGCTAACGAGGAGCTGGAACCAACTTAAAGGCCTGACTGATGACAGTTTTATTTTGTAACTGAAACATAAAATCACAAAGAAGACACTGGTAATGACCTGCAGGAGCTCCACGTTTCATCAGATTGTTTATTTGCTTTTCAACTAAACTAAATGACCTTTTAATGGCTTCATTTGGACCTTTATAACCTCATTCATGACAGCTGTTTCATGTAATTAGATTTCTGCCTGTATTAATTTGAATCTGACCTTTCCTAATTGACTCTGTGCTCATCCTTTTTCGATTTGTATCTTTTATCGTTTACGTTTACATCTTGATCGCCTGCATCTCATTTCGTTGAACTTGTCAGTGACGATAGATTAAATTACATAACTTACTTTCTTTAACACTGAAAGAACTACTGATTCATCAGTTCTTTGTTGTGGATCTGCTCTGTCTTCTGAAACCCCCATGCAGTCATGGCTGCTCACACTCATACATACATGCATGCTTGCTTAGTGAAGGATTGCTGTAAAGTCGCTGACTCGGGATACAAGTCAGAGACTTGATGCAGTCTGCTGGGTTTCCTTAAAGGGACTTTACGGAGTTTTGAATTTTTATGCTAGCGATTGCCCCCTCAGGCCAAAAGTGTAACGGCAGCTTCAATAGTAGGCTGGTGCACGAGGCGAGCATGCTGTACGTGCACACTCCTTAACGAAAATAACAGCTGAGACAGTCCCTTGTGTGTGTGTGTGTGTGTGTGTGTGTGTGTGTGTGTGTGTGTGTGTGTGTGTGTGTGTGTGTGTGGGTGTGGGGCCCGGAGGACAGAGGACAGGAGAACGCGCAGCTAATTACAGGGTATCTGCAGGTTTAAGAGAGCCAAATTTAAGACTTTTTAAGACCTTTTTTAAGGCCACTTTGACCAAATTTAAGCTATTTTTAAAATTAAATAAGCTATGATTTCCAGCTATTGCCTGGGGCCGGTGCTAACCACGTCGTGAACGTGGGATTAGCCATCCAGTTACCATTAAACTTGCACTTCCCCATGGCGCAAACTCCCACTAGCTTAACCAGCTAATGTGCTCATCTAAAAACAGCCCCCTTTCACAACCAACTGAATGTGTACGGTTCCGCTTACGCCAACATCATACACAAAAAATGCTGAACACTAACTAGAAATTCACGAAAATGTTTATAGAAATAAAATAATCTTGTTTTTTGGGTCTTTGGTAATTTAAGACCTTTGGAAACTGTATTTAAGGATTATTTGTCATTTTTAAGGATTTTCAAGGCCTTAAATTTGGAAAAGCAAATTTAAGACTTTTAAAGACTTTTTAAGGACCCGCGGATACCCTGTAATTAATTAAATAATTTGGTTCTGTACCTTTCTCTTCAGCACAGCCAACAAAGGTTTAAGATGGGTCAGTCCTCCTGCATGCTCAGATCATTCCCTTCCCTTGCGTGAAAATTTGTTCCAAAATGAAAGCTGAACCCACATCTTTTTTATCTGTGAATTCAATGCCATTTGGCGAGTCTCAAATAAAAATTTTGTGCGTCTTACTGTAAAAAATATACCATTAATGTAAAAAAAAACTCTAAATAAACTAAATTTGCATCCTAAATCGAACCCAGATCCTCTGCATGAAAGTCTGACGTCTTACTAGGTGAGCTAAAGCCCCAATGATGTCCTTTGTACCTGTAACATTTATATCCTTGATGACAGCTGAAACAACGTTCAAAGAACGGTTCGGAGGGCGATGCCTGAGCGTGAACGCGCATGAAGCAGCCTGCTCGACCCGAGCAGCTCTCTTTTTCTGTGATTTTACAGAAAAACAGGCAATCACAGTAAAAATGCCAGGGCTCACTTTACAGGACCAGGGCATTGCAGGAGAATGTATGAAGAAGACATTTATTATTTCTATACATGTTTTGGCTGTCAGACCTCCATAATGCCCCTTTAAATACTTACATTGAAAACTCTTATTTAGTTGTGATAATGAACTGAACTCATTGCACTCATCAGTAGGTTCAATTGAAACATTTACGTTGTAAAGAGCATTCTGATGACTCTTGCTGTGAATTGATGTTATATAAACAAAATTGAATTAAATTGAAAATCTCATTCTATGGTTCATGAAACAGAACATAAAGAAATGAAGGAGGTAGCCTGATCTGATGGGCTCTCTTTTGGGATGGCCGCCTGGACATCATGAAGCATGGGCAGGCCAGATGACAGCTGTTGGGCCCAGGAAGAGATAATATGAGATGGGCTCCTGACTCAGAAATTTCCCATTTGCACTTGCTCTTAAAAGTCAGCTTTATTTATATTTTAATATTTGTATTGGTCTCTAGCAGGAATGAAAGCCTTGTGAGTCGTTCTCAGGGAAATTAAGCTCAGATGCTTCTGTTTGAGAACCTGGTTCCAGCGGAGCCAGCTGGTTGAGCGCCACACAGGCCGCCCCCGCTGAGGAACCAGGATCCCAGCCCCTCCCCCCTACCTACCGGGTCTCATGTTGTGAACTGTGACGTTTGTTGCTTACATGTCGGGTGTTTTTTTGCATTGGAGTGCTACACCCTGCTGGTGTAACCCTGTTAATGCCTTTTTTTTCTCCCTCCCTGAACTTCCCTCATGTAACACCCTTTTCATCTATCTATTAAGGTAGCGCGACGCATGTTGCGAATGACCGCAGTCACCAATTCTTGTTATGTGTCTTACCCACATATGTCTGATCTTTGAATTGTGTGTGCTGAAACTGAATTTCATTTCTCCGTATGTCCTGCACATGTGGTAGAAGATGACAATAAATGACTTTGACTTTGACTTTGACTAGAAGTCAGCTGGAGGAGAAAGTGGCTGTAGACGGCAGGATATGGAGTCTTATTTCGTGATATTTGGACATCTCGAGGGATGGCAGAGGAGTTAAGTACTTGTCTCATGACCAGAAGGTTGTGGGATTGAGTCCTTCAGTCTGCCACAATTGTTGTGTCCGTGAGTCAGACACTTAACCCACCTTGCATGCTGGTGGTGGTTTGAGGGACTGGTGGTGGCAGCGATCGGCAGCCTCAGGGCAGCTCATCCTCACCAGCAAGGGAATGTGTGTGTGAATGGGTGAATGACTTATTGTGTTCTGAAGGGCTTTTGGGGGTGGGGGGGTTAAAGAACCCTAGAAGGCAAATGCAGACAATTTACCACCTCTCCTCTGATTGGATCCACTGACTGTTTACTCTGCAACGTTGATGATTTATCTCCACAAATAACCCACGACTGGAGGAGTTCTTTCATGTGGTGGAGTTGCTAATGCTAGCGGTTAGCTTCTACTAGTCCAGACATGCTCTGCTTTTTCCCGGATGCGAAATCACAACAGCTTACCCGAGATGGGCGAGACCATGAATGTTGAATCAAACAAACAAACTGAAACAGTCATACAGTTTTATTTAGGCTGCGCTTCACCGCACACCTCTAACCACTCAGTTAGAGGCAAGGATCTGATCCACCCATCCTCTCAGCTCGGTGACGCGGGCATAGACAGCAGGAGTGGTGGTGGAACAGCGGCTGCTTCCCCAGGACACAATACCCACCAGAGTCCACACATTGTCCTTCTCACAGACCAGAGGACCACCAGAGTCGCCCTGAAACAACAAACTCATGAGGCGAGCAGATCAACACCAGCCAGGTCAGACAGGTAGGTAGGTGGGTGGGGCCTCACCATGCAGGAAGTGGCTCCAGCTCCTCCAGCACAAATCATGATGTCAGAGATGCTGCTGCCCCAGTGGCGCTTGCAGTCCTCATTGGAGAGCAGGGGCAGAGCAGCCTGTTGCAGCTTGTTGGGAGTACTGGGAGCTGTGGGAGAAAGTTTCAAATTCACCTTGGTGACTCCAACACCATATCTGGTTCTGGCAGGAAGAAGGAAGAAATTAAATGACTTGTACCGTTGTAGCGGGTAAGACCCCAGCCAGAGGTCACGCAGGTCATGCCAGGTTGGAAGAAATCACTGGACTCGGGCAGACAGACGGGGGACACATTTTGTCCCAGGCGGGCGGGGCTAGCCAGCTTGATGAGGGCAATGTCATTGTTGATAGTGGCAGAGTTCCATCCAGGGTGGGTGAACACCTGAGGGGGTAGAGAGGGAGGCGTCAGTCAGGATGGAGCATTTTGATCTGAAAAAGGATTATCTGATGATATCTCCTTACCTGGGCAGGTTTTAGGACCTGGACGTCCTCAACAGAGCCGAAGCCTTTATCGTGTTCTCCAGCGATTACACGATGGTAGGTCCTGATAGGGAACAAGACATAAACAATCCTGTGAAGTTACACGTGTGTTTAAACAACCCCAACAGCTGGAATGAAACCAGACCAAAACCAAAAATCGCTCCCATGTTAGACAAACAGATGAGCTGGTTCCAGTTAGCAGGTTCAGCACAACCAACCTCCACAAACACAACACAAGAGGATTGTGGGAATTTGCGTTACCAACCTGACGTTACAGTGAGCCGCTGTCACCACCCAGTTTTCACTGATCAGAGACCCTCCGCAAAAGTGGAAACCATTGGATTGCTGCAGACAACAATGCACTTCAGTCAGAAGGGGAGGAGCAGGAGGACAAAATGGGGGAGGCAATAAATTAGGAGGAGATAAGGATAAAGGAGAGGAAGAGGACAAGAGCCTGTTTCCGCCTGCTGAGGCCATCCAGCTCACCTGTAGAGACACCTGCCAAGGCCATGAGTGAGGCACCGCCTCCTCACCGTTGACGATGCGGGCGTAGCCAGACACCTGGGGTGGGATGGCAGGGCTGCCACAGCCTGATTGGACACAGCAAGTGGAAAAAATCTGATGAAAACACATCTTAATCGCACGTTTTTAACAGGAAGTCCCATTTTATTTGGTTTGTTTGTTTTTGTGGGTCGACTGGAGTCGTCGTTTTCAACCAAGCCCGACCCTGACCAGAGAAAGCTCGAAGGATCCAGCCAGTTTGAGCCGAATGATTAAGTGAACTGGTTGAGCTGAGTCTGGTTCTGACATCAGGGCGAAAGGGATTAGACTGTTTCTTTACATTATTACATTCCATGTTATGTTCTTGAAGTTTGGTAATTACTTTATTTTAATTTTGAAAGACAACATATTATGACTTCTGTGGATAAAGTTGTTTTTTAAAAAGGTTTTTTGCACAAGATTCTTCTCACATAAAGCGATTTTTGCTGTTTTATTCTTGACTGTTTCAGTACCTTCCAGAATCAGCCGTTTCAGGACTGTCACTTTAGGGAAACAAGCTGCAGCTGGCCACTCCCATCCATCCACTGATTGGCTGCTATGAGGTCAGGAGCTTGGTTATCAAGAAGGGGCTCAGAATAGAGCCACTGCTCCACCAACCTGGTGGTGTGGTAATTTCCCCGACTGTGACATCACAAGCAGGAAAAACCAGGAACTTACCGACAGTTCTTGAATATTCAAGTCACCATGACGAAGTACACCCAAAAATATGTGTCCATATTTAGTTATTTATTTAATCAATAACTTTAACTTTGGCTTCTCTCCCTTTTCCATGAGCTCGGAGCATTCTGCCTCCAAATTTAAACAGATAATAATTATTAGTTTGTTATTTTTGATCATTCCAGCAGATTGCGTTTCACATGTCCTGCTGTCACTGGCCATGTTCGAGTTGAGCTGCGCCTCGCCTGGAAAACAGACGAGAGCAGACAGAAGCAGCAGGGGGAGTGGCTGAAAGCCGGCGTGTAAGTTGGACAGATTTCCCTACATGTGTTGCTCGCAGGTGACGACGGATGAAGATATCACATTAGAGTTCATACTTGTTTAATTATTTATTTTAATTCTGGTGCCTGTTAGCAACCGAAACACATCCTCACGTGCTTGTGGATATCATATATTGTATATGGAGACCTGACTGTAATAATAAGTAAAGGTTATCAGCTGTAGGTTTAGTGTGCTCACAGGAAACGTGACAAAATAACACAAATCACATTCCTCTTTATGGCCTATATAGTTGTCATCATCAACGTAACATGATTTACAGAATACACGTGACCAACTAACATTTTGCATTCAACCACCGGATGTTTGGATCAAAATGTGAACAAATCAGATCTTAGATCAGGTGAGAGCCAGGCGTTTCCCGTCATGCCCTAGGTTTTGCAGCCGGTGGAGAGCAACTGCAGCGCCTTGCTCCAAAATCTGTGGCTGCCTTGATCTCACGAGGTTATTGTTGTCTACGTAGGCATGATGTCAGACATGGACGTAACTTTCACTTTAGAAGTGGGGGGGACACGGGGGGGGGGGGGGATCTTTACAGTATGCTCTAATGGGAAATGGGCTTCAATACAAACGGTTGTTTTCCGCTTGGTCCTAGAGCGCAACCAGTGTCAACTTAATATAGCGTAATATTGTTTTTGGATGGTAAAAAGTGCAGGGGTCAAAACTTGACTTTGGAAAAAGTGGGGGGGACATGTCCCCCCTGTCCCCCCCCAAAATTACGTCCATGATGTCAGAGCAAGTCGGCGTCAAGTCGGACACAAAGCTAACCGGCAAGCATTGCACGCCGATCACCGGTGATCTAATCTGCGCAGAAATGGCTCATCTCGAACACGGACACTTTCTGCTTCTAGTGTCTGCTCCCCACATGGCGGGAAGATCCCAGCTCTCTGATTGGCTAAGACTGCTTTCTGCTGCATTTTTTCCCGTGTTAAAAGATGCTGCACTTGGCAGACCTCATCAGACTTTCTACAGGAACTTTTAATGCAAACAATAAAATCTAGGTTTATTTTGCTGTTAAGTTGCTGAATCATTCTTCAAGTAAATTTTAAATGATGATTTCAATCAGCAATGTGCTGCTGATTCAACCCATCTGTACCCTCTGCCACCCCCTACTGGTCGCTTCCAAATCTTCACTTTGTCAGATTTTAATAAAACGTAATTTAAGAAGTCAGCAAAACTTTAACCTGTGAAGCAACGACTACTCAGTTAAAACAAAATGGTTCTGAGTCTCACCATAGGCGGCACCCACAAAAGCGAGGCAAGAGAGGATCCACAGGAAGGCCATGATGATCATGAGGAGGAGGAGGTGGTGGACGAGATGTGGTTTTATGCAGAAGGCAGCAAAGTTTCGGCCAATCAGAGCAGCTGTCAGCTGTTTATCAGAGCTGAGGTGGAGGTGGTGTTCTCACGGGTCACACGCCCCAACGTGCGGCTGTCTGATTGGCTCAGAGAAAAGTCTGACCTGGTCTTTTCCCCTGAGCTGGTTTCAGATCAGTTTTACATTTTATCTACTCTTTAGATGGCAGCTTGACTTCTACAGAGAATATTTTATTCCAAAGTACTTATTGAAATTTTACTGAATAAAAACCAATGAACGTAAAAAAACATCCCATCATCCTCCTCACCACCATCATTATTATCCTTTCCTCCTTACCATCCAATCGTGCACACCTTCTCAGCGGTCAATGGTGTGAGTTTCTTCCCTGAGAGTGGAAGATTATAGGTTCAAGTCCACGGTCGGGTCAGACAGCATTAAGGGGTTTGATCGGAGGGTTAAACCACTGATTCCCGAGCACGGCCGCGCCTGCAGGCCACCTTTTCCCACGTGGCTGGGTCAAATGCAGAGATGTAATTTCTCCAGTGTGTGATGACTTATGGGACTTTAACTTAATCATCATCATTATTATTATTAAATGAAATTCTTTTTTAGCTCTTCTTGCAGCAAACACATATGTAGGTGTGTCAGATATTAATATTTGATCAAACACTTGGAGATAAAACGATTTTTAACCAACAGGAACAAGAAGCAGACTTCTTGTATCATTTATTCATCTGATCAGAAACTAAAACCCTCACCGATCCAAAAAAGAGGAAACGAAACCTCAAACTAGATGAGCAACAATAAACTTCAGTCTTGGGTGACCTGTTGGCTGGATGATGACACTGACCTGGTTGGGTTTCATCGTGAAAAAAGGTTCAGATCTTTTTTATATCTCAGTGAACAAGGTTCAAAAGTTTTTATTCAGATGATGTTGTTTTAATTCCCCAGATTGGATCTTAGTCCCAGACTAAGACTCCAGCTGCTTCCTGAACTTTAACGGATCCTTCAGCCTAACTTTGGGAACATTTGTTTGTTTCATTTTACCTGGATTTGGCCCCACGTCCAACCTCCACGTCTCCATTCCTCCTCACATGGAAACTCAAACACATGCACCTGTCCAGACTCCCACCTGATAAGATGTCCCTCCATCCTGTCCAATCACATCGTTCCTCTGATGTATAAAAGCCCCTCACCCCAACGGCTCCAGCATGATCGAGCCATGGCTTTCCTCTGGATCCTCTCCTGCCTCGCCTTCGTCGGCGCCGCCTACGGTGAGACCCATATCATCTTCATCCATCCAGATTCTGACCTCCAGAAAAACATTTTTTCTTATCTGACTGTCTCTGTTTAAAAATGATGTGAATATGATGTCATCAGGTTGCGGTGACCCCGCCATCCCCCCCATCATCACCGGCTACTCCCGTATTGTGAATGGTGAGGAGGCAGTGCCTCACTCCTGGCCCTGGCAGGTGTCTCTGCAGGTAAACACTGCAGGACGGGGATGCTTTTCCTGACGGGCAGATGATTTTAAAGAGCAAGTCACCCCCTACCACAGTCTAGCTCCACTCCCATTTCCTGTTTGAAAAAATGCTCCACAAGGAGGTGTTGCCTGGCAGTCTGAGAGGGCTGACAAACACACACACACACACACACACACACACACACACACACACACACACACACGCACACGCACACGCACACGCACACACACGCACACGCACACACACACACACACACACAGGCTCACAGAAGCATTGTGACATCATATAGAACCAGCTAACGTCATAGGGTACCTCTTAGCCAATAGCGATGTAGTGCAGCGTTTGTAACCTGAAAAGGGGCTTAACGCTGATAGTCTTAGGTAGAATATTTAAATTTTTGTTAAGAAGCACTAAAGTGCTGAATCATTGACTACGTGTGTCTACAGCACGATTAGACACTCATTTATACAGTTTATCAGCTAAAAACTGTTGATTTGGGGGTGACTTGCTCTTTAACTGTTTCTAATCCTGTCCAATGCTGTTCCATCTTGTTCTGTCTCATCTGGTCCTCCCCGTTTCCACCCTGTCCTGCTTGATCCGCCTCATGTGGTCCACCCTCAGCTCAAACAATAACGTTTTGTATCCAACATCGCCTCTATGTTGGGTTCAAAACGTCTTTAACTTTTCTACTTAATTTCATATTTAGACATTGTTTTAACTAAATTCTCCCGCAGGATAAAGTAGTTTTTAACCCTCCCACTGTCCTCATGGGTTACCCTGCAAGGAAAGTTGACCATTGAGCAGGATTGATGGTTTATCCCTTGACGTCGACGTGCCAGGGGTGAGGTGGTGCTCATTCCCCCCCCCCCCCCCCCCCCCCCCCCCCCGCCACATGGACCCAAGGGATAAACCATCAACCCTGCTTAACGGTCAACTTTCCTTGCAGGGTCACACCCATTAGGACAGTGGGAGGGTTAAAAGATATTTGAGAATAAAGTCCCGACTGATTCAATTCTTCAGGACTATGGTGTCCATCTTAGGACATTCTCAGGTCTCAGGGACTCGTCTTCAGACCACAAGTTAGGAATGAGGTCATAACACCTGACCGTTTGGGACTTTATTTTCTGAGATGGTGTGCGATACGTGTTCGTGAGGCCTGAGGACAGAACCTGGTGTGTTGATCTGTTTCAGGATTACACCGGTTTCCACTTCTGTGGAGGCTCTCTCATCAACGAGAACTGGGTGGTGACAGCTGCTCACTGCAATGTCAGGTAATCCTCAGACTCACCTGCTCCATCAGACAGGAAGTGGATCTCAGTGGGTTCTAATGGTTTTGTTTTTTAGAACCTCTCATCGTGTGATCCTCGGAGAACACGACCGCTCCTCCAACGCTGAGAGCATCCAGGTGATGGCGGTCGGCAAGGTGAGGAACAGTCAGAATTAGCTTTTCGTTTTTCTCCTCCTGTGGTCTTTCAGTCCTCATGATGTCACTTCCTGCCAGGTGTTCAAACACCCCCAGTACAATGGCTTCACCATCAACAATGACATCCTTCTCATCAAGCTGGCCCAGCCTGCCCAGCTCAACATGCGTGTTTCTCCCGTGTGTGTGGCCGCCACCTCCGATAACTTCCCTGGGGGCATGAGGTGTGTGACCTCTGGCTGGGGTCTGACCCGTTCCAACGGTAAGAGCTGCGACCAATCAGAAAGCACCATCTCATCTCTTTGTGGTTCTGATCAAAACTTCTTCAGAAGAGCGTAAAACTTTAAATAACGCTCAGAGATGGGTCATGAACCAGTCAGGACTAAAAGATGTTTCTTTGATGTGTTTGAGCTGCAGTAATCATAAAACACAGAACTTCAGTCAATACCTGTTATTCATTCATCTATTTGGTTGTTTGTTTAGTAGTTTTTATGCTTGCTTGATTGTTTATTGATACTTTATACAATCAGGTTTTTGAGTGAATCCCTTCAAACGTGAAGTTTAGGACTTTAGGGTGTTTAATAAACTTTAAATCTAATAAAACTGCTTTTTTTTGTTTTTGGTTGCAGTCGTTCTCATATTTCTGTTTTTAACATCAACCAACAAGAAGAAAAGAACCAAATAATGCTGAAGATTAGATTTTTATCAGCTGAGCCTTCTGGTTCTGGTTTTCCAGCCTGTTGCTGTCTGTCCACCAGATGGTGCCATGCATCAGTGTGTGTTAACGTGTGTGTGTGTGTGTGTGTGTGTGTGTGTGTCTTGCAGCCCCTGACACACCTGCTCGCCTGCAGCAGGCCTCCCTGCCCCTCCTGACCAACGATAACTGCCGTCGTTTCTGGGGCAACAAGATCACCGACATAATGATCTGCGCTGGAGCCTCTGGAGCCTCCTCCTGCATGGTGGGTGGTTCTGGCTGCGGCATGATCCGGTTCTGTTCAACACACTGTCTTTACGTTCTGGCGCTGTTTGGTTTCAGGGAGACTCTGGTGGTCCCCTGGTCTGTGAGAAGAGCGGGGCCTGGACTCTGGTAGGTATCGTTTCCTGGGGCAGTGGAACCTGCTCCACCAGCACACCCGGTGTCTACGCCCGCGTAACCAAGCTGCGCTCCTGGATGGATCAGATCATTGCTGCCAACTGAGCATGCTCAGCAGGACGCCTCCCATCTGAACTTAAATAAAACAGCAACTGTGACGCTGTTGTCTGATTTTCTTTACCACAGCACATCCATCCTCTTGTTCAAACAGCAAATTGTCAGAATGATTGACAAAAACTTTCACCACTTGGTTTGTTTTCAACTAGGGTGGGTGTCCAGAGGAGTTTCTTAGATCAGGTCAGGCTCAGATCAGGATTCCAGCTGCTGTAATGAGGATATTGATCTGTTGGGGTGAAGTGGATGCTGAGCTGAAAGATGAAGCTCCGCAATGACTCCTTCCTCTAGACCAGGGGTCTCCGGCGGTCAGCGGGCAGTCAGGCGGGGTACACCCTGGACAGAGAGCCAGTCCATTGCAGGGCAATGCAGAGACACACAGGACAGACAATCATGCACACATTCACACCTAAGGACAATTTAGACAGACCAATCAACTTAACAGTCATGTTTTTGGACTGGGGGGAAGCCGGAGTACTCGGATAGAACCCACACATGCACAGGGAGAACGTGCAAACTCCATGCAGAAGGATCCCAGGCCGGGAAGCGAACCCAGGACCTCCTTGCTGCAAGGACACAGCTCTAACCACTGCGCCACAGCGCAGCCACATAGAAGTTTCATTTAAAGTTATTTGTTCAGTAACTAGCTTGGATGCTCACACTTGCTAATAAAACGAGGATGACTTGCAAACACGAGTGAGTAAAAGACGATGGCTTTGTCAAAAATACGTAAAATGATAAATGACCCGCACTTGTATAGCACCTCTCAGAGTAAGGACTCCAAAGCGCTTTACACTTCATCCATTCACACACACATTCACACACTGATGGTGATGAGCTACGATGTAGCCACAGCTGCCCTTGGGCGCACTGACAGAGGCGAGGCTGCCGAGCACAGGCGCCACCGGTCCCTCCGACCACCATCAGCGGGCAAGGTGGGTTAGGTGTCTTGCCCAAGGACACAACAGCAGAATTCTCTGTCCGGAGCCGGGATCGAACCTGCAACCTTCCGATTACTGGACAACCCGCTCAACCTGTTGAGCTACTGCTGCCCCCAAGTGACATAAAGTGGACTATGGAAATCGGACATTTAAAGATGAACGGAATGAAGCTTACGCCTTTATTTTACCTCCGTCGGGTGTACGGCCAGTCTGCCTAATATGTTCTGAAGCAGTCGGACTAATAAAAAGTGGAAATCTAAAGAGACATTATGAAACCAAACATAAGCACTTCCACCAGAACTTTCCACCTGGGACTGAGGTTAGGACACGAGGAATGAAGGAACTGCGGGGACAGTACGAGAGAGCTACGCGGTTAATTACCGCACGACAGCGAGCATATGAGTGTTCACTGCGAGTACAGTGGATTTTAGGAAAACATAAAAAGCCTTTCACGGGTTCAGAAATGATCAAGGAGTGCATGGAAGCCGTGGCAGAAACACTTCTGGATGGAAAAGAAGGACAACAACTGAAAGAAAAGGTCAGATGAATTCCCATGTGGGCCACAAGCACAACAAGGAGAGCAGAAGTGTTATCCCAAGATGTACAGACCCAGCTTGACTGTGCTATTCAGAGTGCTCTGAGTGTGAATCAACAGTTGTGAATGACAATGCCCAGCTTCTGGTATATGTCAGATTCTATCATGAGGACAGTAAAGCTCTTGTGGAGGATCTTTTAGGCATCACAGCACTGAAAACACACACCAGAGGGGAGGATATTTACTCAGCAATTAAAGAAATGTTGACTGAAAGAGGGATTAATCTGAAAGATGTTGTCTCTGTTACTACTGATGGGGCACCTTCAATGATAGGACAAGAAAAAGGAGCAGTTAGTCGACTAAAAGAGGACAAACCGGACCTGTTGTTGTCATATCACTGTATTATTCATGTGTCTGTTCCGTGTTCCTCCCTCTCAGAGGAATATGGTGAGGTAATGAACACAGACACTAAACTTGTTAACTTTCTCCGTGCTTCTTCATCTCATCAGCGTCGTCTGCTTCGTGAATTTTTAGCATAGGTGAATGCAGAGGCTAATGACTTACTCTTGCATTCCAGTGTTAGGTGGTTAAGCAAAGGCAGAGTGCTTGCACGCTCCTGGGGTCTTCAACACGAACTACAACAATTTTCTGTCACAACAACAAAGTCACAAGGCCAGTTTTTTTTTTTTTTTTTTTCAGTTTCTGGAGGATGAGGAAAACATGGACAAAGTAGCATTTGTTCTTGACATCACAGGGCATCTCAATGATCTGAATGTGAGATTACAAGGAAAGAACAACTCCGTGTGTGATTCATTTAAAATCTTCAAACTCAGGAGAAATTTGGTGATGGGGGTAGTGGACCTTTTGCTGTTTTAGTTGGGGACCCCTGCTCTAGACCCTCACCAATGACCACAAGGTCTGGATCAAGATCTAAAGAATCAGATCCTGGACCCAAGCGTCTGAGCTCAATTATCCAGGGCTGGTGAGTGTGTCTGCATGGGGAGAAGGTGGTCTGTGATCACCTCCTCGACATTTACCTGCACCCTAAAATCAGGCAAACCCACCAACGATGGGTATTTGAGGTGGAATATTGGTGATTCCAGTCTGGAGATGCAGCAGGAGATCTGACGGATGATCTAAGCTAATCAAAATTCAGCACCGAGAAAAAATGAAGATCTCCATTAAAACAAGTCAAATTTAACAAAAAAAAAAAAAGTTATTTAACACAACTTTACGTTAAAACTTGAACTTTGCCTTAAATTCATTTGTTTCTCACACTAAAACCTCGTTTTTATCACATTTGCTCAATTGAGTTGATCTGAATACGTTTTTAGTTTATTTCACAAAACCATATTTATTGAAAAACACAGAAACACAGCTTGTCTCAGTCTGAAGGCCTCTGCAGGCGTGTCATCAGGTGCGTCTGGTCATGCAGGTGTGGCCGACAGGACGACAGTAGCAGATGGCGTTGTAGAATCGGCAGTAGCAGGTGTCACAGGGGTCACAGCAGGGCAGCGAGTAGCCCAGACAGAACTGCTGGTGAGGGATGCAGCGGCGTGGCGAGCGTGTGGCTCGACCCTGCAGCTGCAGCGCTGCAGACGAGTCCTGCAGAAACACGGAACAGGTGAGTTCAAAGCGTTCAGCAGCTTAAAAATACCTGCAAACAAACACACCTCATTGTTTGATCCTGCCTCCATCAAAAAGCGATCCTCCTCTGAGTCTTCAGGTAGGAGGGCAGGGTTCACCTGGCTGGGGGCGTGGCTTCTCTCTGCCCAGGACAAACAGGAACTAGCTCGTTTAATTGAACAGGTCCAACGTGATTAATCAGGTTTGTGACATTGCTCCTTAAAGCAAACTCAGGTTTAACAAAACATTATATCCAAAGCCGGATTTGCTGATGTCAGACGAGGGGGCGGGGCTATAGTTTGACCTGCTCAAACAGGTGATACTCCTGAGTTTGGCTCCCAAAATCTTTAACTTTTAGCGTAAATGTTTCTCAAACCATTTAAAATAAAGTTAAACAAAAGTTTTTTGTAATTTTCTGTCAGTTGCCTGTGGATCCCTGGTTGGACCCACCCATGTCAGGCAGGTAGGCGGTATCGGTTCTGTGGCCAGCAAACGGACCCTCATCCAGTTGGAGGTTTCCATGAACAAGAGAGGAGGAGAGTCGCAGCAGACTGAAGCACCAACAGCAGAACAAGAACGCCCCGAACATCCTCCTGCTGCGACAGAACAAGGAGAAGAATCTGCACCGCAACTCCCACAATCCTCTGCTGCTGGATCAGCTCCTGTGGAAAGAAACAGGACCTGGGTTTGGCTTTAGAGTCACATGATAAGACTCAGTTCTGACCCATTTTGGGGCAGCAGTAGCTCAGGTGGTAGAGCGGGTAGCCTCATGATCGGAGGGTCATGGGTTTGATTCCAGCTCCCGTCAGGGGTATCCTGCTGTTGTGTCCTTGGGCAAGACACTTCACCCAACTTGCCTGTGTTAGTGGTGGTCAAAGGGGCCGACGGCGCCAAATGGCAGCCTCACCTCTGTCAGACCTCCCCAGGGCGGCTGTGGCTACAGGTAGCTTACCATCACTGGCCGTGTGTGAACGTGAGAGTGTATGAAAGCATCTTTGGGTGTCTGGAAAAGCGCTATATAAGTTCAATGCATTATTATTATTATTATTATTATTATTTATGACCTGGTTGAAATTCAGTTCTGACCTTGTCCCAACCCGGTAAAAATCCAGTTTTGACCTGGTTAAGGTTCCGTTCTGACTCTGACCCATTTATGGCCCGGTTCTGACAGTCTTCACAGAAATGACGCAATGCACTGAAATGTAAAAGCTTAATTCTAACTAAAACAAATGAATTACGTGATGAACTTTATATTCTAACATCAGACGAAGGATTTTGGCTAAATTATAATCCTAGTATAATACCGGTAATGTTAAAATGAAAAAATAAAAAGTATAAGAATGTATTTAAATTTTTATCGTGAGCAGTTTGGCATCAGATAATCAAAGGACCAGAAACCAGTAGTTTTTTTGCTCATTTTTCTCTTTCTGCAGAATTGGAAGAACTTTAAAAATTTAGGCGATAATTTCAAGACTTTGAGCCAGACTGTGATCAGCATACCTATTTTTTCTTCCATAATAATAATAATAATGATGATAATAATAATAATAATAATAATAATAATAATAATAATAATAATAATAATAATAATAATAATAAATAATTATTATTATCATTATTATTATTATTACCAGTTTTATACTAAGTGTAAATAAAACAAGATAAATCAACATTTCAAACTTGGAGGTTTTTGTCATTTGAAGCTGAAACAGCTTAAGTTTGGGTAAAATCAGTTGTTATTTAATTTTTTTGTTGAAACAGAAGAAACTAAAATAAACCAAACCTAAACAACAACAAAACAGGATCATAGACATAAATACTTACTTTTCTCAGTCACAAATGTGTAGAAAATAAAAAGGACTTTCACAAAAAATATGAGAATGGAAAACTGGTTTGGAATAAAATCACCAAACATGAACTAAAAATAAACAAAAAATGTTACTAAAATCGGTTCAATTTGATTTTTAACAGAAAAGAAATAAACAGGCTGCACAGTGGCGCAGTGGTTAGAGCTGTTGCCTTGCAGCAAGGAGGTCCTGGGTTCACTTCCCAGCCTGGGATCTTTCTGCATGGAGTTTGCATGTTCTCCCTGTGCATGCGTGGGTTCTCTCCGGGTTCTCCGGCTTCCTCCCACAGTCCAAAAACATGACTGTTAGGTTAATTGGTCTGTCTAAATTGTGTGTGTGTGTGTGTGTGTGTGTGTGTGTATGTGTGTGTGTGTGTGCCTCATTGTTTGTCCTGTGTGTCTCTGTGTTGCCCTGGGATGGACTGGCACCCTGTCCAGGGTGTACCCTGCCCCATTGCCCATTGACTGCTGGAGATAGGCACCGGTCACCCCCGCGACCCTACATGGACAAGCGGGGTCAGAAAATTGATGGATGGATGGAATAAATAAACAAAAAGGAGTAAATGACACAAAAAGGAGACTCACCTTCTTCTGGAACTCCAGCTGTATTCCTGTCTGGCTGGTGATGGGCGAGTTTAAAGACCCCCAACAGGAAGTAGGTCACATGACCAGCTGGGTGGGCGTCACCATCATCATCATTAATGTAATCACAAGACTAAACACCAACTCTGACATGATAAAGAACAAAACCTAGAAAGGAAACAGCATTCACTCTCACAGTCACACACACACACACACACACACACACACACACACACACAGTTGGGTTAATCTGGATCAAATATTTCAGATCAAACTGTGAATAAAATCTGTATATTCTTTTCTTTAGGATATTTATTATAAAAACGTTTTAAAAAAGAACAACAAACAGGTAACATCACCCAGAAAAGAGGTTTGGCCTTAAATGGATTTCATCAAGATAAGAATTTGGCACAAAAATATAGATTTATTTTATTTTTTAATCATGTCTTTTGTTTTAGGAAACATGAATTCCTTTGGAGAACTTTATTTCCCAAATTATTTGTATCTAAGACTTAGGCATCACTCGATTTTATTTTGTTTTCTCTGATTTTACAGACGTTGATCTCAATGAAACAGATTTTTTCCTTGACTTCAGATTTTAATTTTATAATCTGTGGATTAAAAATTGTCTGAAACCATTTTAAAGTTTTGATTCTAGTAGTTTTCCTGTCTGGGACTCAGGGGCCAGTTGTGGTCAGGTGGGGCTGATGTCTGACTCCCACACCTTTTGGTGATGGAACGCTGATCCGAGGAAAACCAGAGCAGCTAATGGAAAAACACAAACTGTTATTAATGCTTGTGAGACTTCGAGCTGTGGATGAAGAGTTGAAACTTTGTCAAGATCAAAGTTTCAAGGTTTTATTTTTTCTTGATTTCAGAAAAAAACTGTTAACAATCAAATCAAATTAGCTGCATGATTCTGGGAAATCACCCAAAATCCTGTAGTCAGATACTTTAATCTGGACTCAGATTAAAACCATGTCAAACCCAGTCAGACCAACTCAGTTTTACTGGTTTGATCCAGAGAGGACAGATCTACACCAGAACCAGAACTTCTGGAGGACTGTTTTTGAGGATGGTGAGTCACATGCTGTGCAGCCAGCTGACCCGTTTGTTCTCATTAGAGCTCACTAACGATGTTCTGAATGGAGAACATTAGATCAGCTGCTTCTTTCACATTTCTCCTATTAGCACCAATCTGCTGCTTCTTCATCATCTTCATCATCGACCAGCTAACATCTCTGAAGAGGGCAGCACTGATGCATCACCGCTGCTCTCAGGCCTAACGAGTCGAGGCGCTGCTGTAGCTACCGCTGACTCAGCATTAATCTGACTGCTGATTACAGTCAATCAGACACAAAACAGCTTAATCAACATGTTTACTTCCTGTTTTAGGCCGTCCGTCTCCATGGTAACAGCTAGGTTTAATAGATGAGGATCAGATGGACACTGGAGACCAGAGATGTCACACAACGAACTGAAAGTTAAAGGTCAAAAGATTGTCACAAACAGAATCATACTGACCCGCAAGAACTCAGAAACAAATAAACAAGAGTAAAGATGTTTACCAATAATGCACTGCAGTACTAACAGCTGATCATAGCTGTCAGCACAGTGGTGGAGGGCTGATGGTTTGCGCTGGGTCTGCAGCTAGAGGACCCGCTTTGTCCATCGTGTAAACAAGTATAACTGACTGATGTACCTTAGCACTCTAGAAGGAACTTTACAAGTAAAGGAAAGTTACCATTTACTCTAAAGGGTTGCAGAAAGCTCTTTGAGTTCTGCTATGTATGTCTTGAAAGTAAATCTTCTAACTCATTTTGGGTATTTTTAAATATTTTTTTCAGCAAAAACACATTTTGAAGCTGTTGTTAAAATAAAAACAAAACAACAAATCCAGTCTGGTTCTGGCTCACACTCCCAGTTCAACTTTAAATCCCAGCATTGCAAAGCACAAAAATCACTCTCTCGGACAGTGACTCACTCTCACCTGACTGGTTCGTCTAACACTATGGTCTAACACACACACACACACACACACACACACACACACACACACACACACACACACACACACACACACACACACACACACACACACACACACACACACACACACAGTGCGAGCAAGCTCACAATGTTTCGCAGGCAGCGCCAGTCGACCCCAGACTCTGTGATCATCTGAACCGGAAGTCTGTTGCAGACAGTTCCCGGCCCTCTGAGCTGTCCGGTACCGGAGCTTTTAATCATGGTTTTCGAGTCCCTAGTCAGTGACCTGCTGAACCGTTTTATTGGGGACTACGTGGAGAACCTGGACAAGTCTCAGCTGAAGATCGGGATCTGGGGAGGTGAGCCCTGCTGCTAGCTTACAGCATCACGGTCACACAGACAGACTAGCCAGACTTCCTTCAAAATGTCACACCTTTAGAGTAGTACCCTTCTGCAAAAGTGTAACAGCAACTTATAACACACATTGACTTTAATTACGATTTATCTGAATGTTATCATATTTTCAGCTTTGCTTCAATTAGAAATTATTACCGTTTTTAAATTAAATATAAAGTTAGGTGTATTTATCTCGCCTCTCCTTCACACACACGGTATGGGTAGTAAACGCGTCACTGTGATGATAAATATCAGGTTTTCCTTATTAGCGTAACTTTCAGTAAATGAAAAGTTCGCCGAATTAATGCCCGACTTAACAATATCCTTCCCTCAGAGACACACACTTGTGTGGATCTGTGTAATTCTGCCAGCAGCACGTTTATTAAATCGTCTGAAATTAAAACGAGGATTTGCACAAAATCTTGACAGGCAGTGACGAGGCAGTAAAGATTCCAGTCCACCTGTCCCTGTTCGGACTGCCCAGTGTGCGCTGATGTGGAGATGTTTCTGACTGATCCTGGATCAGATCGATGTACATCCTGGGATGAAAACGTTATGAAATCTTATTTTCTCCTGTTGGAGACGAAAGCGTTAAAAGAGGCTCGGTTCGTTAATGAAGGCAACGTGAAGCTTATCAGCTGATCTCAGCGCACGCGCGCGCTCACTGTGGAGTTATCAAAAGATATTTTTACCAGCAATCAATAGCCTAGACACATTAACGTAATAACGGTCAAGCGTGTGTGTAGATCAGCATTGTGACAAAAAAAAGTAAAAAAGTTCTTTTAGGTTGGAAACTGTTACCAGAACAACAAAACACCTGATTTATGTCAGGAGGAATAAACCAGTTCAGAGCCACCAAATGAAACCCAGCGTCCACCTGCTGGTCTCTGTTTGACCTGATCACTCACACCACTTAACCTTTGACCCTGGGTGAACCTGCTGGATCCTATCTTGTTTCCTGGTCTTTCTTTTTGCACCCTGATGAGCTCCAAATAATTAGAAATGATATTTCACCCTTCCCAGATTCCCTTCCCTTAGCAGCAGTAGCTTCCACTGATGTGTTCCCTTTGTGTCAACACACCCCTGTATGCTCCGGAGGAGACGAGTTCCGTTTTAGTAAATAAATAATTGTAGTTTATTCGTCGTCTAGCTGACCAGATGTTTGACTAGGACTTTGAAACCTGTCGAGAGCCTGATGTTTTTCATCATGTCCTGGTTCATAAAGGAAGTGGATGTTTTTACATGTCAGGAGCATGTAGACAAACATGTTCCTCCCATGGGGACGTGAACAGTGACTTTTATGCATATACCCAGTTCTCCTGCTGGTCTAGCTGCATTCCTGAATCCTCGTTTTTACTCTCACACACCCTGAGGGTGTGTCTGATGGAAAATCCTATGAACTATCTGGTCCAGGTTCATTGATGAGGTCCTGATCAGGTTTCTCAGTAACCATGGTAACCAGGTAGATTCAGGCCAACTACCACAGTTCTGCCTTCTTCTAACGGTTTTTTCTGTGCTTCTGCAGGAAATGTTGTTCTTGAGAACCTGAGAGTTAAAGAAAATGCTCTGGTAAGTCCTAAAACTCACTGGTCCCATCCTACACATCTGCTGCCTCAGGCTTGGTGGTGGTGGTGATGATGATGAAGATGATGATGAAGATGACAACAGTGCTCTGAATCACCTCATCAGACATTAGGTTTCAGCAGGACTCTGATGCTGTGTTTGTGTTTTAGAGCGAGTTTGATGTTCCCTTCAAAGTAAAAGCTGGACAGATTGGTGAGTATTTCACATTTTAATCCTTTTAGGCTCCAAGAGATTAAAACAATCTGTCAGCTTCTGTTAAAAATACTAATTTAAAATAAAAACATCTCAGCAGATTTGATAATGGTTGACTTTAAACACTCTCAGGTGGTTTTATTTTGAGCTGCTGAAAACCAGACAGAGCCTCAGAACTCCTGTTGTGTTTCAGAGAAGCTGACGCTGAAGATTCCCTGGAAGAACCTTTACAGCGAAGCGGTGGTCGCCACTTTGGAGGGTCTGTACCTGCTAGTTGTTCCTGGAGCCAGTAAGTAACCCTTGAGCTGCAAACATTTTCTAGATAGACCTGACTCAGATCAAAACACAGAAACGACTAGCAGAAGAGTTCCTGATTCTGATCTGACCGATTGTCCAAAACGTCTCCTAATGATTAATGCAAGGGTGTCAAACTCAAACTCACACGGGGCCGAAATGAAACTCTGGGACGGAGTCGAGGGCCAAACTTAATATTTTTTTGAAAAAGTGACGGCAAATTTGCACATTTTCTTTATCAACATATAAGCAATTTTGAACCTTTAAATTTGGAAACAAACATATTTCTGCATTAACACTGAATGTGGAATAACCAAATTACACACGAGCAAGTCAGTTTTAAATAAAAGGCATCAGTGGTATTCATTACTTGTGGTATAATCAGCATTTTAAAAATCTTTGAAATCTTTAAATCTTTTAAATCTTTTCTCACGGGCCAACAACAAAATAAAAATATCATTTTATCTTAAATGAAAATGCAACATCTCACCTGTTAACTTTCATGTTTTGGAGCAGAAAAAGAGAATAAAACCAACATATTTAAAGCTCAGTTTGCTCCACTGGTTTACTGTGATGCTCACCTGTTCCAGCCAGATACCTGCATCATGGGGTTGATCTGAGCTGAGGAGGAGACTCCTGTTGTTTTGTTCATCTTCATCATAATGACAACATTAGATGACAACAGGTGCTCACATAGGTTTGTGCTGCTGAACATGTCTGAGCAGCTTGACCACGTTGTTGTGTGTCGGGGAGGAAACACGACGACAGCAGCCACAGAGCCGTGCTGGTTTGAGCGTGTCGCTGTTCGCTGGAGTTATATCGGCTCTGTCTGGACGTTAGTTTGAAAACTTTCTCTTTCAGTCGTGAACACATTACTGAGCGTCTAGAATCTCCGTTTCTGGGCTTCAACGTCAGAAAATAGCTGAGTGAGAGGAGTGTAGTTTGTCCGAGACAGCGGAGCTCGCCTGCAGACACCGGCAGCAGGCGCTAGAAAAAACAAAAGAGGGGACGCGTCGGCTATGCGCTGACGCCTCAAAGCATCATGGGAGTTGAAGTCTTTGCGGTAAAATCGGCCAGCGGGCCAGTTTTAATATATTTTTGATATTTATCTCGCGGGCCACATAAAAATGCTCTGCGGGCCGCAACTGGCCCGCGGGCCTTGAGTCTGACATGTGGATTATGCTTATATGTGGATTAATGTGTGTGCCTGCGTGCGTTGCAGCTGAATGTCAGGTGAAAACAAGTCCATTTAATGGTAAGCAACAGACAGAGGTGATGGTTCTAATCTGATCTGCAGAGGGCTGCACAGTGACAAGATACAATTAGATTGGTTACTTTATTAATCCCAATGTTCGGAAATCATACAAAGAACCATATCACATATTTCTTCACAATAAAAGCTTCCTTCAGGGGTTCTCCTGCTAAGATGCTTTTATTTTGAAGTTTAGGCAGGGCGGGCTGACGGTAACGTCGCCGTGCAGCTCAGAGTCTGGGGGCTTCATGCAGCTCTGCTGGTTTCCACTTCCTTTGATGATACTGGACACTGCATGCTGTTACTGGGAAGCGTTGTTAGGATTTACTAGTCTGGATTCTGTAGAGAAAATTAATGTATCTGATGTTAAACGGGATATTTTAGAGAAGGAATCAAAGACACCTGATGCCATTAAAATATGGTGCGGTCCGATACTGGACTGGCTCTTCTATCTTTATACCTTGGAAATAAAGTTATATTGGATTTAAAAAAACAAAAAGTGTGTGAGCATGCAGAAGAGTTTATTCATACAGGAATTAAAGGTGTGGAACACTGAAAACCCACTTTTAATGATTATTTCTGATTATAATTGGTCACTCTGAGTTTTTCATGCAGGCTGCACATGAAAATAGTCTCCTACACTTATCTCCTGCATTAGCTTCTGAGACCACTGCAACTGTATTGAGTAAACGAGTGTTCTACTCCTTTAAGATGAAACATTTTACTGTAATAAATAATTTTTAGGGTTGAATAAAAGCTTGGTTTTAATTTGCTTGGGTTAGAGCTGAAGGCTACAGGGAGACTCTTTATGGACAAAGGTCAGATGGGACTAAAATTAACTTTTTCCCCAGTGAAGCATGGTGGTGGTAGCATCATAATGTGGAAGCATGACTTTAGTGATGAGAATATTTAACAGGGGTCTAGTTAAAGCTGTAACGTGATGAAGGAGCCATTTCTACCCTCTAAGTGAAGCATGGCCGGTCCTTAATTCACTTAGCATGCGATGAACTTCAGGGGATCTCGAGATCTGGCTGAATACTGAACTTAAAATGGCGTTGTTCTGTTTTATTAATCTTGATGCTTATAATTCTGGAGGAATCACAGCTGACAGATTAAATAAACACCACAGAGACTCTGCCACGCTTCAGACGTGAAGGTTCTGATTGGATTTGTGACCGGAATGTGTCATGATTATTTATCTTTGTGTATCAGCGTGTCTAGTGACTAGAATAAGTCACTTACTTATTAAAACATTAATGAAATTGTGATTTCACTGATCGGTCACATGGTTATTATTGACTAACACTTTGATGGATTAGCTTTATTAAAATAGAGTTCTTTGATTAATTAAAAGAAAAGAGTTCATTCCTCGTTCTTCTGTCTTCATTGCTGGAACGTAAACAGTTTAGAAGCGAATGCATGACCTTGAGGCTGTTTCATGCACACTGACACTGTGTCAAAAGAAACAGCTGTTAGAGGGTAGAAATGGCTCCTTCATCACGTTGCAAAGCTTATTTAGTCGGCTGAGTTGATCCAGCCCGAAGGAGCTGCAGCCGAATCCTTCAACTGAAGGAATGAGTCCAGCTCCCAGAAAAATTTTGGGACTGGACGTGTCCTCCTGAAAAGACATCCAGAAGAACAGCACCTTTGAGTATGAGAGATTATCTGTGACTGGAGCTGTCCACCTGAGATTGAATGAGCAGGAGCTGTATTCCCCCACATGGCCCTGCTGGTGTCCTGATGGACACCTATGGGGACAGAGTTTGTGTCCCTGCTGTGGTAGGGGACAGACTTTGGTGAAGCAGCCTGCCTAAATGGTTTCTTATGAGTCTCTGGACTTGGTTTCTGCTTGAGTAGTGGTCCTGAAACAGGACAGGTTGGACTTTATCTAGTGCACCCACACCTTTAATGCTGCTGTTTGTTCTTTTTCTCAGCAATAAAATACGATGCAGCAAAGGAGGAGCGCTACCAGCAGGAGGCGAAGCAGAAGGAGCTGCAGCGGATCGAGGAGGCGCTGCTGACAGCGGCACGAAGAGGTGAGATGAGCTGACCCCAAACACCAAGCAGGTGTTTTCGTGTTTCTTGTGTCCTTTCTTGTGTCCTTGGAATTCTGTTTCAATTCTATACTGCTTTCTGAGTCTCTGACTGATGCTGAGTGAGTGGACGGATGGGAGGACAGATGAGTGAGTGGACGGATGGGAGGACAGATGAGTGAGCGGATGGATGCGAGGACAGATGAGTGAGTGGACGGATGGGAGGACAGATGAGTGAGCGGATGGATGCGAGGACAGATGAGTGAGTGGACAGATGGGAGGACAGATGAGTGAGTGGACGGATGGGAGGACAGATGAGTGATTGGACGGATGGGAGGACAGATGAGTGAGTGGACAGAAGGGAGGACAGATGAGTGAGTGGATGGAAGGGAGGACAGATGAGTGAGTGGACGGATGGGAGGACAGATGAGTGAGCGGATGGATGCGAGGACAGATGAGTGAGTGGACAGATGGGAGGACAGATGAGTGATTGGACGGATGAGTGAGTGGACAGATGGGAGGACAGATGAGTGATTGGACGGATGAGTGAGTGGACAGATGCGAGGACAGATGAGTGAGTGGACGGATGGGAGGACAGATGAGTGAGTGGACGGATGGGAGGACAGATGAGTGAGCGGACGGATGCGAGGACAGATGAGTGAGTGGACAGATGGGAGGACAGATGAGTGAGTGGATGGATGGGAGGACAGATGAGTGAGTGGACAGATGGGAGGACAGATGAGTGAGCGGACGGATGCGAGGACAGATGAGTGAGTGGACAGATGGGAGGACAGATGAGTGAGTGGATGGATGGGAGGACAGATGAGTGAGTGGACGGATGGGAGGACAGATGAGTGAGCGGATGGATGCGAGGACAGATGAGTGAGTGGACGGATGGGAGGACAGATGAGTGAGTGGACGGATGGGAGGACAGATGAGTGAGCGGACGGATGCGAGGACAGATGAGTGAGTGGATGGATGGGAGGACAGATGAGTGAGTGGACGGATGGGAGGACAGATGAGTGAGTGGACGGATGGGAGGACAGATGAGTGAGCGGACGGATGCGAGGACAGATGAGTGAGTGGACAGATGGGAGGACAGATGAGTGAGCGGACGGATGCGAGGACAGATGAGTGAGCGGACGGATGCGAGGACAGATGAGTGAGTGGACAGATGGGAGGACAGATGAGTGAGTGGATGGATGGGAGGACAGATGAGTGAGTGGATGGAAGGGAGGACAGATGAGTGAGTGGATGGAAGGGAGGACAGATGAGTGAGTGGATGGATGGGAGGACAGATGAGTGAGTGGACGGATGGGAGGACAGATGAGTGAGTGGATGGATGGGAGGACAGATGAGTGAGTGGACGGATGGGAGGACAGATGAGTGAGTGGACGGATGGGAGGACAGATGAGTGAGTGGACGGATGGGAGGACAGATGAGTGAGCGGACGGATGCGAGGACAGATGAGTGAGCGGACGGATGCGAGGACAGATGAGTGAGTGGACAGATGGGAGGACAGATGAGTGAGTGGATGGATGGGAGGACAGATGAGTGAGTGGATGGAAGGGAGGACAGATGAGTGAGTGGACAGATGGGAGGACAGATGAGTGAGTGGATGGAAGGGAGGACAGATGAGTGAGTGGATGGATGGGAGGACAGATGAGTGAGTGGATGGATGGGAGGACAGATGAGTGAGTGGATGGAAGGGAGGACAGATGAGTGAGTGGATGGAAGGGAGGACAGATGAGTGATTGGACGGATGAGTGAGTGGACAGATGCGAGGACAGATGAGTGAGTGGATGGAAGGGAGGACAGATGAGTGAGTGGACGGATGGGAGGACAGATGAGTGAGTGGACGGAAGGGAGGACAGATGAGTGAGTGGATGGAAGGGAGGACAGATGAGTGAGTGGACGGATGGGAGGACAGATGAGTGAGTGGACGGATGGGAGGACAGATGAGTGAGTGGACAGATGGGAGGACGGATGAGTGAGTGGACGGATGGGAGGACAGATGAGTGAGTGGATGGAAGGGAGGACAGATGAGTGAGTGGACGGATGGGAGGACAGATGAGTGAGTGGACGGAAGGGAGGACAGATGAGTGAGTGGACGGATGGACTCACTAACTTGCTGTCTGTCTCATTCATGCTGCGTTCGCTGTCAGCATCTCACACCGGGGATCTGCTGTGTGGTTTGGAGAGTGTTGTTTACAAGGAACCACTCAATGGTAATATACGGTCCGAGAGACACACACACACACACACACGCACGCACGCGCACACACACACACACACACACACACACACACACACACACACACACACACACACACACACATACACACACACACACACACACACACACACACACACCAGTGTGACCATGAAACGCACTGGGAGTCCAAATGCATTTCATGCCCACACACTCTGATTTTTGACCTTGGTCAGGTTCTAGTTGTCATTGGTCAGAGCGGGAGTGTGTAACCTTTACGACTCAACCTGAAATAGGAAATCATAATAAAACTTGTAACTAATCCCTGACCTTAGACCCAGTGATCAACCACAACTTAACTGTGGAAAACATTTCCTGTTGATATTAACACCACTCAGTTTCACGTTGAGACGGCGGCCCCGGAGCCACAGGTTGCAGACCCCTGAGTCTGATGCTGTAGTCTAACCTGATCCAGAGTCACAGGTCACCCCAGATATATTCATCCAGATCGCCCTGAGCATGAAGTCCAAGCTGTCTGATAGTGAACGTGTGTGCTGCACCCCCACCCTCCTTTGTGTTTTCGGGCTTTTCTCTCACTAACTGCTGTTTCTTCCTTTACTGCTGCCAAAGTCCCAAAAGGACGTAAAAAGCATAAAAAGCACAAAAGAACTTTAAAGAAGCTGAAACGACACGAGAAACAAGCAGGTGAGTCTGAGTTCTTAGAGATTTAAGGACGTTTGGATCTGAACTGAAGAGTCCTTCAGTCAGCCAGGTTCTCATCCAGGAAAGAATCCTCTTTGTGCCACACCTGGACCTGACTGACTCAGTGTCAGGTGTTGGTCCAGGTCTAGGTGTGACTGACCCGCTCTCAGGTCTATGTGTAGGTCTAGGTGTGACTGACTCAGACTCGGGTGTCTTGACTGTCTCTTGCTCTGTTTTTCCAGACAAGCCTCAGGAGGAAAAGAAGGACACGTTTGTGGAGAAACTGGCCACTCAGGTGATCAAGAACGTGCAGGTGAAGATCAGCAGCATCCATCTGCGCTACGAGGATGATGTGAGTACTGATGCTGATCCAAGTTCTGGTTCAGATCGATTTAAGACAGGAGATGGAGACCTGCAGGTAGTCTGGATTTTCAGGTGTTTTTGTGTCTGTTTCAGCTGACAGACCCACAGCGCCCCCTGTCTGTGGGAGTGACTCTGTCAGAGCTCAGTCTGCAGGTACACACACACACACACACACACACCTGATTAGGTGATGCTCGCTGCTAGTTTTGGTTGTGGTTCTGTTTCAGACTACGGACGAAAACTGGAAGTCGTGTATTCTGAATGAAGCTGCAAAGATCATCTATAAGGTGAGACGCTCTGAACGACCTGCTTCTCCTGTGTGTCCGGGTGTCTGCGACACCTCCTCAAGCTTAACTGGTGTGCGTGTGTGTGTGTGTGTGTGTGTGTGTGTGATCAGCTGGGCCGGCTGGAGTGTCTCTGTGCCTACTGGAACGTTAACAGTCAGATGTTCTATAAGAACCAGTGGGAGGATGTTGTGGTGAGTTTAGTTTTATCTGTCCGATGCTTTTGTTGTTTTTTTTGTTTTTTTATCAAAGAATGAATACAAGCCCCCCCACCCACCCACCCCACTTTTTTTCCTCCTCCTCCAGGACCTGCTGAAGGCTGGAGTCTGCTCTAAGGACCAGGAAGTTCTCCAGTATCAGTACAGTGAGTTCAGCTCATTCATAATGTTGGAGATCATTACTCAGCAGAGCTTCTGGTTCTTAACCGGTGGTGTCTGTGACCCAGGCTAGACTGTGTCTGGACCGGGCCTGGGCGAGATCCGTTCTGGACTGGGCTTGGCATGGACCAGGTCTAAGCTGGGCCCAGACCTGGGCCAGACCATAAAGAGTTATCCTGACTTGTTCTCACATTAAATCAGACAGATTAGCTCATCTGTGACTTTTAACTAATCAGAACGTTTGAACTTATCTGGTCTTGCAAACAGGCAGAACCGGACTGAGCCCACTAAGCTGATGGAATGTTCTGAACCTTCTCGTGTCTAACTCTGTTTTCTCCTCCTGAAGTCTTCAAGCCAATTTTTGCTTCTGCTAAAATGTGCATCAATCCTTCCGCTGAGGCAGAGCTGAAGGCTCCGAAGGCAAACCTTCAACTGGAGGTCCAGAACATCGCCATTGAGATGACCAAACCACAGGTACCAGAACACCCGTGGAGACAGGTGGAGGCGAGTGTGGAGTTGTGAGACACCTTTTTCTGCCCACTGCAGTACCTGAGCATGGTGGACGTGCTGGAGTCTGTTGATTTGATGGTGAAGAACGCCCCCTTCAGAAAGTTCAGACCTAATGTCCCGGTCCACCAGAACACCAGACTCTGGTAAGTCGGATAAAACTGGACCGTTGTCCCTCTGAATGTCCGTGGAGGCCAGATCACACGTTTAATGTCCCACTCTGGTCCAGGTGGAAGTACGGTTACAACAGCATCATGGAGGGACACATCCGGCGCATCAGCCGCATGTGGTCCTGGTCCAACATCAGACGGCACAGAGAGATCCTGAGGTCCTACAAGAACACCTACAAGACCAAACTGCTGAGTCAGACTAAACCAGGGTCTGATGCTGAACAGCAGATCCAGGTGGGGTCCCTAAGAGGTCCGAACCAGCTCCACACAGCAAATGGGTCTGGGATGAGAGTTCTGCCATCACGGCCTGTAGAAGTCAGAGCCCTCATCCTGATCCTAGTCCTGGTCCAAGTTCTGGTTTTATAGATCTCCAGCATGCTGAGATGCTTTCTGACGTTCCGCTGTCTCCTTCCAGGATTTGGAGAAAATTCTAGACGTGTTCAACATCACTCTGGCCCGCCAGCAAGCCCAGATGGAGGTAGTCTCTGAAGCTTCTCTCACTACATGTCCCGTCTGATTCTTGAACCTCTGTCGGACCTCATCTGCAGGTGATCCGATCCGGACAGAAACTGGCTGCGAAGAAGGCTGGGGCTCAGAAACAGGGAGGAGGTTTCTTCAGTGGCTGGTTTGGAAGGAAACCAAAGACGGAGGAGCAGGAGTTGGAGGAGAGCCTGGAGTCTGAAAGTGGGTGATGGTCCAGTTCTTCTCAACAGGCCTCGTGTCCGATACTTGGTTTTCTGAGTGTCCCTGTTGTGATCCAGGTTCAGGCTTGGACCAACTCATGACAGCTGAGGAGAAGGAAAAACTCTACACAGCTATTGGCTACAGTGGCAGCTCCCACAATCTGGCCTTACCCAAACAGGTAGACACACCTGTTGCGTTCAGCTACGAGACACAGGTGCTGGGGGTCAAAGGTCTCAAGTAGAACCTGTCTGGGTCGGTCACAGGAGAAACGAACCAGATGCCACCTCAGTTTAGGTTGGTAACATGCTACAAAGGGTCCAAACAGGAGGTGTTTACCCACAATGCACTGTGGCCTCAAAAGCCTCTAGGCTGATCTGGGAATACCTGTTGCTCCTGCTGGAGGAGGTGGCTAGGGAGAGCATTATCTGGACCTCCTGCTGCACTGGATCAGCAGAACACAAGGAAGCTTCTGGGTTTTGGTTTGTGGTGGTCGTGACTCGTGCGCAATGAGGTGGATTTTTTTGCAGTTGAGAAACTTCTCAGGTTTCCTCTTCTAATACATGAAACCTGATCAGCTGAACTTGTGTGTTTCAGTACGTTGCTGCAGTTGTCACTTTCCAGCTGCTGAAGACCTCAGTGACGATCAGAGAGCAGTACAACGTTCCAGAGATCCTGAAGATCCAGATGATCAACCTCAGCACTAAAATATCTCAAAGACCTGGAGCCCAGGCTGTCAGGTGTCCACTTTCACTTGAACCATACAAAAGCGACTGATTACAGTCAAACTGGAACTTCAACAAAATAATTATTTGATGAGAACGTTGTTGGTTAGGAGATCAGAACGTCGACGATGGGTTGCCGTTAATGCTGCTGTCCTGCAGGGTGGAGGCAGCACTGGAGCACTGGTATGTCACGGGTCTGCAGCAGATGGGAACGGTCCCTTCACTCATCACCTCGGTAGGAGAGTCTTCATCGTCTCTCCTCAGTGTGGTGTTTGAGCTGAACCCAGAGGAAAGCTCTGGCGACCAGCTGCTCAGGGTCCACTCTCAGCCAGTGGAGATCATCTACGACGCAGTAAGAAGACCTCTGACCTCAAATCAGGTCTCCGTGTTTCCAGTGTGTCCAGTGAAAACATCTCTTCTTGATGTGTCCTTATTTCCCCAGGTGACCGTCAACAGTATGGTGGACTTCTTTAAGACAGGGAAAGGTGTGGACCTGGAGTTCCTGACCTCTGCCACGCTGTCCAAACTGGAGGAAATCAAAGAAAAAACTGCAGCAGGTGAGTAGAGTTCAGCACCAGGTAGGAGCTCGAAGCATCATCAGCTATGGAGCTGTGGGACCACATGAGACCCTGCTGGCCTCCAGTTTGGAGATTGTTCTCATCCAGCTGGAGTCTCAGGAGGTCCAGGTGGAACTGAAAGATCCAGTCATGACGGTTCTGGTGTCTGCAGGGTTGTTTCACATCATTGAGACCAGGAAAGTGTTGGATCTGAAAATCGACCTGAAACCATCTTACTTACTGATCCCGATGTCGGGCTTCTACAGCGACAGAGCAGACCTCATAATCGTGGACTTTGGTAGCTTCCAGGTCTGTTATAAGTACTGAATAGGTGACCTGTGACCGAGTGTGTACCAGTGTGCAGTTGGTTTGGTCAACAATGGTTGTGTGTCTGCAGCTGAATAGCGTTGATCAGTTTGGCTCCATTTCCTCTCCATCGTCCTCGTCTCTGGAGGAGATCATGAATCGAGCCTATGAGAGATATGATGTTGGGCTGAGGCGAGTTCAGCTGCTCTACAGCAAGTCAGGTACACACACACACACACACACACACACACACACACACACACACACACACACACACACACACACACACACACACACACACACACACACACACGCACACACAGCACAGTTACGCAAACAACACAATGACTCTGCTGATTACAGGAGAGGCCTGGAAGTCGGCTCGGTTGCAGAGTTCCTCTGTCCAGCACATCCTTCAGCCGATGGACTTCACTCTGCATCTGGCTAAGTGTATGGTGGATAAGGACGTCCGGATGCCCAGGTACAACTCTCACCTGTCTGGGGTTTCTAATGTTTTTCGCTTGTGTTTTGAATAATTTGTAATTTTTTGTGCTTCAGGTTCAAGGTGTCTGGAGAACTGCCGCTTCTACACATTAAGATCTCGGACCAGAAGATCCAGAATGTTCTGGAGTTGGTCGACAGCATTCCCTTTCCCAAGATGGACTCCTCCCCATCCACCCCTAACAAGAAGGTCCAGACTCTGGGTTCTCGGGCTCAGACTTAGAGGACTTTGGGAGATTTAGTTTAGAGGGATGGGAGCATTTATAGGAAGACTTGAAGTGTTTGAATGGTCCGGAAAATCTTCAGTAACAGAAACAGTTGTGAAGTGATGGAGTGTAGGAAGAGAGAACTTTATGGAGAAAACAGGACCACAACTCCATTTTTCTGTGAATGTGTCCCCTACAGGTGTTGCCTTTAGTGGAGGCGCGACCACAGAGAGCCAGCCTTAACCCTGCCCTCCTGACCATAGTAGATACAGGTAGGTAGGTGTTCACTGTGCTATGATTGGCTGGTAAAGAAAGGTCCCACAACCTAATGATGATGATGATGTTGATGGTGATGTTAGTGATTATTGTGGTGATGATGGTGATGATGGTGATGATGATGATGATGGTGGTGGTGATGATGATGATGGTGGTGATGATGATGATGATGGTGGTGATGATGATGATGATGATGATGATGATGATGATGGTGGTGATGATGATGATGATGGTGGTGATGATGATGGTGGTGGTGGTGATGATGATGATGGTGAGCGTGGTGGTGATGATGATGATGATGGTGATGATGATGATGATGATGGTGGTGATGATGATGATGATGATGATGATGATGGTGAGTGTGGTGGTGATGATGATGATGATGGTGATGATGATGATGATGATGGTGGTGATGATGATGATGATGATGATGGTGATGTTAGTGATTATTGTGGTGATGATGGTGATGATGGTGATGATGATGATGATGGTGGTGGTGATGATGATGATGGTGGTGATGATGATGATGATGGTGGTGATGATGATGATGATGATGATGATGATGATGGTGGTGATGATGATGATGATGGTGGTGATGATGATGGTGGTGGTGGTGATGATGATGATGGTGAGCGTGGTGGTGATGATGATGATGATGGTGATGATGATGATGATGATGGTGGTGATGATGATGATGATGATGATGATGATGGTGAGTGTGGTGGTGATGATGATGATGATGGTGATGATGATGATGATGATGGTGGTGATGATGATGATGATGATGATGGTGATGTTAGTGATTATTGTGATGATGATGATGTTGATGGTGATGTTAGTGATTATTGTGATGATGGTGATGATGGTGATGGTGATGATGATGATGGTGGTGATGATGATGATGGTGGTGGTGATGATGATGATGGTGGTGATGATGATGATGATGGTGGTGATGATGATGATGATGATGATGATGATGATGGTGGTGATGATGATGATGATGGTGGTGATGATGATGGTGGTGGTGATGATGATGATGGTGAGCGTGGTGGTGATGATGATGATGATGGTGATGATGATGATGATGATGGTGGTGATGATGATGATGATGATGATGATGATGATGGTGAGTGTGGTGGTGATGATGATGATGATGATGGTGATGATGATGATGATGATGGTGGTGATGATGATGATGATGATGATGGTGATGTTAGTGATTATTGTGATGATGATGATGTTGATGGTGATGTTAGTGATTATTGTGATGATGGTGATGATGGTGATGGTGATGATGATGATGGTGAGTGTGGTGATGATGATGATGATGATGATGGTGAGCGTGGTGGTGATGATGAGGGTGGTGATGATGATGGTGATGATGATGATGATGATGGTGGTGATGATGATGATGATGATGATGGTGATGTTAGTGATTATTGTGATGATGATGATGTTGATGGTGATGTTAGTGATTATTGTGATGATGGTGATGATGGTGATGGTGATGATGATGATGGTGGTGATGATGATGATGATGATGGTGGTGATGATGATGATGGTGAGTGTGGTGATGATGATGATGATGATGATGGTGAGCGTGGTGGTGATGATGATGGTGGTGATGATGATGATGATGATGATGATGGTGAGTGGTGATGATGATGATGATGGTGATGATGATGATGGTGGTGATGATGATGATGATGGTGAGTGTGGTGCTGATGTAACGTCACGTAATGGCCTGGTTTTAAGACTCTCGGGTCAGATACACAGCCTGGGTCACCTTGTCCTGGCTTCTACTCAAATCTGGAGTAGAATCTAGCGAAGGTTGGGACGGCCGCCCAACGCTCTTTAACCAAACAAGCGATTTCTGTCACGCTGGCAGAATTGCTCTGACACAACAAAACGACACCTGCAGAACAAGCTGATGCTACGAGATTCCTTAAGAATCTGCAGAGGCAAACCAATTCCACCTGTGTGCCTGCGGCATCTCTAGGACCGGAACAAGTCGGTACCATCGGTCTTCCCTACTGGACCCGGTACCCTGAGGCTGTTCAACATCCTCCTCTGACCTCCGGATCCACGGCGAGGGTCGCCTGACGGTGAGGTAGAGCACAGATTGCGTCTGAATGCTCTTTAATAAGAACAACTTAGTTTATTGACAAAACCAAATTCTTTTTCACCCAGAACCCGTCCTCTCTTTAAGATACACGTTCTGAGACATTGCTTCACTCGCAAACAAAACACACTTCACCTTAGATTCATCCAAACACAGGGTTGCTTTTAATACCAAAGCTTTTATAAATTGTCTTTGAAATTGTCATGTTTAAATTGTTTAGTAATAAATTTCTTAACCTTTTTAAACTTGACTCTTTCTTGAAATAAACACAGAGTGGCTGTGTATTGATCACTGAACAAGCAAAGATCTTTAGATCTTCGCAATTAACAAAAAACTTTTACTATTAAGTTCAATCTTTAAATAAATATTATGTAGTGTAATGGTTTATGCTCTTTTATGAAAGAGGAACCATCCTACATTTTAATTTGTGATATTAATTTGTAATAAATTAATAACCAAATTTTATAGAATTAAGAAGACTCAAAGGTTGTTTTCATCGATAAACTGACGATAATATCCGTGGGTCTGTGTTTCAGTTCAATGAAAAGACAAGTTTGAAAGTTAAAAGTTTTAATTCTTCAAATTCACTAATGATTTTGAAATGACAAGCATAGGAAATAACAATCAGCATTGGCAACTTTGTTGGACAATCTTTAACAGTTGATATTTTAAGCTTGCACAAATAGACCTTGTGTTGGATGTGCTAGATTTGAGAATGGTGTGATATGAATGCATGTGTGCGTCTGATTTTGCTTCAGGAAGAAACAGGTGTCTGAGTGAAAAGTGATGGTTTGAATAAAACTTAGTTCTTATTAGAAAAAGGCATCAAACGCTATCTGTCGTGTACTGCCTCACCGTACGAGGACCCCCTTTTCAGATTCGGACGTCACCGGAGGATGTTCATCCAGGACACCTTGGCTGGCAGAGAAGACGAAGGTGTCCGACGCTCCGGAGTTTACCTCTGTACACGCTGATGACGCGTTTGGAAGATGCGCTATCTTAAGTTTAAATTACTCAGAAATCAAGACTCTGGACGAGTCTGCGTTAGCTGGTTGCAATTCAGCTATCCTGTCTGGCTTGACAGGAATAGCGTGGGGGGGGGGGGGGGGGGGGGGCTCCGTTCCCCCGTTAGCGGTTGTTCACACGTCCTCTCTCTCTCTCGTTGACCAACACGAACTGAATCATGAACTGAAAACTTACCAAAAGCCTTTCTCTTCTCAAAGCAAACGTGTGCATCAGAGCAAATGTGTTTTGGAGTTTACTGTGAGAGTAGACCTGTGTGTGAGTGTTTGAGTGTGCGTGAAGGTCATTATAACATCTTCCAAACATTATTTAATTAAGTATTGATTCATTATAGTTCATTATGATTACCCAAAGCATAATAATCATTCATTTGATTAAAACACATTTATAATGAGCAAAATGATAATAATGATTATTTAACATTTAAAATAAAGGAAAGGAAGTTTAAGACTTTGTTATGTTATGACTAGCTTTCATGAGAACAACATCTTCTGGCACTGCAGGTGGCAGATGTTATGGTTTGCAGCAGACTCTTGCAGACTTCATGTCGGCAAAGGTCTCAATCTGTGGGTGAAAGTTATGAGCGACCCAGCTCTTGACCCAGCTGGGCAAATGAAACCTTTGGCACAGGAAACCCATATTTCCTCACGTTACAATTATAATCTTTTGATTAACATAGACCAAGCAAGTTGGTGTATGAATTTATATCCATATATATATGTATATATACATGTAGATTTCATTCGTTTATTTGTTTGATCAAATCCGTCAAATCAAAGATTATTAATCCCAGAGGGAAATTAGAGTTTCAGTACACACAATTCAGAGATCAGACATACATGGGCAAGACACATGACAAGAATTGGTGACTGGTCATTCGCAACCCTGAGTCACGCTACCTTAATAGATTCAATTCAATTTTATTTATACAGCGCCAAATCACGACAAGAGTCGTCTCAAGGCACTTCACACTGTAAACATTCCAATTCAGATCAGTTCATTAAGCCAATCAGAAAAAATGTTTCCTATATAAGGAACCCAGCAAATTGCATCAATTCACTGACACTAGTTTACAGCAATCCTCATACTAAGCAAGCATATAGCGACAGTAGAGAGGAAAACTCCCTTTTAACAGGAAGAAACCTCCAGAGAATCCTGGCTCAGTATAAGCAGCCATCCTCCACTACTCACTGGGGATCGAGAAGACACACACACACACACACACACACACACACACACACACACACACACACACACACACACACACACACACACACACACACACACACACACACACACACACACACACACACACACACACACACACACACACACACACACACACACACACACACACACACACACACACACACACACACACACACACACACACACACACACACACACACACACACGAGGGTTACATGAGGATTGGTTCAGGTGGAGGGAAAAAAGGCACTTCAGAGTTACCCTCCACCAGGAGGGCAGCTTTGCTGTGCAAAAAAACACCTCGGACAGAAATGTAACAGACTTCAGACAACACAAGTGTCCACTAGGTGGGGTGGTGGGTTGGGACTATCCCCACTTCAGTTCCTGCAGCCACGATCAGCAGCACATGTCACCTCAGTGTGGATGGGGGGCGGGGGGAGCATTGAGGGTTGGAGGGTTGCAGTGACCCTGGAACGTTTCAGCGGCCTTCCCGCAGTCCTGCCCAGGCTGGGAAAGGAGTTGAGTTGCCATAGCGACGGCACATTCCACATATCTTCTGAGGGGGGAGTTTTTGTTGGAGCCTTGCAGGTTCAAGGGCGCCAGATTCCGATTAGAAATTGTTTTGGGGCCAGACAGAGATAATTTCCTCTCAGTCTTACAGTTTGTTGGTCCTCAACCTCTCAAAATCCCAATAATGGACATTAATCTATCCCAATCCGTGCTGATTCATCCACTCCCTCCTTGATGGCATCCATCTTTTGTGTCAGTGAATGAATCTCGGCCAAAGTCCCAAGCTTACGATTCATGTAGACAATTATGTGAGTCTGTGAATTCACAGCGCAGTGCAAACCATCTCTGAGCCCCGGGATCAGGCCAATATTCCTCGACAGCTCGTTAATTTTCTGGTAATCCAGGTAGCCTCCAAGGCCAATGACCAGGAAACCTGACACCAACACTACGAATATCCACACATCTTCAGAGTCCTCCACAGACATCTGAGATAAACAAATCAAGTTCCACTCTTAGGAATTAAAACATAAACTGATAGCAACTAGGGCTGTCGCGGTAACCGCAAAAATGAAATATCGCAATATGAAGAAACCCACCGCGCTGCATCATGGGCCCCCGCGATTACTGAACTTGGTTCAACTCAGTGATGCATGTTGAGAAGGATGGCTGCACTGGTATCAAAACGAAACATTACTTCGCTCCTTTGGGAGCACTTTGGTTTTCAGTACGTCAGCTGCTGCGCAGCCAGAGTCCTTGGCCGGGACAGAGCTGCCACCAGCGGCAAAAAAATAATAATAAACGCTCGGAGACCTGCTGAAGTCCCGGACAAGCACTGCTGCTGCAACCGTCCCGAAGAGAGTTTGAGCCGAGCTGGAGCTCACTTGCTACCTGCAGGAGGAATGCATCCACCCTAAAGAAAACCCCCTGACATGGTGGAGCAACAACCGGGAGAGATTCCCTTTGCTCGCCAGAGTCGCACGCAGGTACGTGTGCGTTAGTGCAACGAGCGCACCATCCGAGAGGGTTTTCAGTGTTGCTGGAAATGTTGCCACCCCTCTCAGATCCTCTCTCAAACCGTATAAGGTTAACATGCTGGTTTTCCTTGTAGGTAACAAGGACGTGACCGAGCTATAAATCACCGTCATTCGTGTGTGTGAAAGTGAAATGATAGTGCGCCCCAACCCCCCGCCCCGCGCGCGCCCGGTACATGTAATTTTTTATGCTTGATTTTAAACAACTAAACAAAATGGGGACTTGTTTCTTATTTGTTAGATGCTGCAGCCAAATTTGCATTTAAAAGTTTGACCTCCTGAATTTTGTTGTTTTTAAGTTCAGTCGGACTCCGACTGTCGGACAAACAAATGTTACTGCGATCTGTGTTGTTACTGTCCTTTGATCTGCATTCAGTAAAGTGTTATAAAAGAATGCACGGCAATTTTTAACCTTTTTTAAATGTGTAAACATTATGTTTAGATAGTGCTGCAATAAAAAAAGGGCTGCAATAATATCGCACACCGCAATATTAAGCCACCCTGAATCACCGCAGGAGGAATTCCTCAACCGCGACAGCCCTAATAGCAACAGCCTTTAATTCCTAGATATGTAGTTCATTAACACTACAGTGATGATGATGATGACGGTGATGATGATGGTGATGATGATGATGTTGGTGATAATAGTGATGATGTTGGTGATGATGATGATGGTGATAATAGTGATAATGATGGTGATGATGATTATGGAGATGATGATGGTAAGTGTGGTGGTGAATGATGATGTTGATGGTGATGATGGTGAATGTGGTGGTGATGATGATGGTGATAGTCATGCTTATGGTGATGATGATGATGATGATGATGGAGATGATAGTGATAGTCATGATTGTGGTGGTGATGATGATGGTAGTGGTGATGATGATGATGATGGTGATGATGGAGATGATGGTGATAGTCATGATTATGGTGATGATTGTGGTGGTGATGATGATGATGGTAGTGGTGATGATGATGATGATGATGATGATGATGGTGATAGTCATGATTGTGGTGGTGGCGGTAGTAATGATGGTGGTGATGATGATGATGATGATGGAGATGATAGTGATAGTCATGATTATGGTGATGATTGTGGTGGTGATGATGATGATGGTAGTGGTGATGATGGTGATGATGATGGTGGTGGTGATGATGATGATGATGATGGAGATGATAGTGATAGTCATGATTGTGGTGGTGACGGTAGTAATGATGGTGGTGATGATGATGGTAGTGGTGATGATGAAGATGATGGAGATGATAGTCATGATTGTGGTGGTGACGGTAGTAATGATGGTGGTGATGATGATGGTAGTGGTGATGATGAAGATGATGGAGATGATAGTGATGATTGTGGTGGTGACGGTAGTAATGATGGTGGTGATGATGATGTTTTGTGTTTAGATTCAGATGAAGATATCAGTGAGAAGTCACCAGATGAGGACCCTCAGCACTCTTCTCTGGAGGATCTCATCAATGTTCACTTTAAGTTTGAAGCCAGAGAGGTCGGTGTTTCTGCTCTCTGGCTCAGTGGGCTAGTTGAGGTGTTTTGGTGATTTTTACCTGTGTGTTGTGTTCAGGTGCTGCTGGAGCTCACCCGGCAGGTGGACCAGGAGAAAACCATCCTGTCCTTCAGCATCTGTCAGCTGGGAGCTGAAGGGAAGATGAGGAGCTTTGACATGAGTGTCACCTCGTACCTGAAACGAGTCTCCCTCAACTACTGTGATGTTCCAGGTAACTTTACAGCCGATCCCCATCACTAAATGCTCATCATCAAACAGCTGAAGGGCATTCATTTGTTTCTATGGTTGAGCCAGTCTGCCACCAGTAAAACCATCAGCTCTGTGATTCTCTTCTTTAACCAGTTAGGTTAAATCCGTGTTTCTTTTATTTAGGTGGCAGGAGTCCGCTCCACCTGATCAGCTCCTCACAGCAGCAGAGCTCCAACCTGCTGAAGGTGGAGTTCATCAAGGTGAGTCTGAATATCACAGACCTATGAAATACAAACTCTCTCTCTCTCTCTCTCTCTCTCTCTGTCTGTCTGTCTGTCTGTCTGTCTATCTCGCAAGATAAATATCGAAAATATATTAAAACTGACCCGCTGGCCTATTTTACAGCAAAGACTACAACTCCCATGAAGCTTTGCGGCGTTCGCGCAGAGTCGAACCACCCCCTCTTTTGTGTTTTTTCCAGCGTCTGCTGCCGGTCTCGGACAAACTAAACACTCCTCTCACTCAGCGTCGACTTTACTCAGCTATTTGCCGACGTTGAAGCCCAGAAACGGAGATTCTAGCCGCTCAGTAATGTGTTCACGACTGAAAGAGAAAGTTTTCAAACTAACGTCCAGACAGAGCTGATATAACTCCAGCGAACAGCGACACGCTCAAACCAGCACGGCTCTGTGGTTGCTGTTGTTGTGTTTCCTCCCCGACACACAACAACGTGGTCAAGCTGCTCAGACTTGTTCATCAGCACAAACCTATGTGAGCACCTGTTGTCATCTAATGTTGTCATTATTATGATGAAGATGAAGATGAACAAACCAACAGGAGTCTCCTCCTCAGCTCAGGCAGGTATCTGGCTGGAACAGGTGAGCATCACAGTAAACCAGTGCAGCAAACAGCTTTAAATATGTTGGTTTTATGCTCTTTTTCTGCTCCAAAATATGAAAGTTAACAGGTGAGATGTTGCATTTTCATTTAAGATAAAATGATATTTTTATTTTGTTGTTGGCCCGTGAGAAAAGATTTAACCTACAGTAAACAGGAAGTGGAAAGGCTGCAGATAGATGAATAGAATAGAAAATCCCTTTATTGTTCCTCAGTGGGGAAAGCTAGACGTCACAGCAGTGATGACACGTATTACAGGAGAAAAAAAGAGAATAAAAAATAAGAAAAATGAATAAACAACAAGAAAACATAAACCCTGAATAGATTTTAAAAATGCTGATTATACCACAAGTAATGAATACCACTGATGCGTTTTATTTAAAACTGACTTGCTCGTGTGTAATTTGGTTATTCCACATTCAGTGTTAATGCAGAAATATGTTTGTTTCAAATTAAAAGGTTCACAATATGTTGGTAAAGAAAATGTGCAAATTTGCCGTCACTTTTTCAAAAAATATTAAGTTTGGCCCGCGACTTCGTCCCAGAGTTTCATTTCGGTCCCGTGTGAATTAGAGTTTGACTCCCCTGCTTTAAACCATTACGTTTGTGATTCTTTCTGGTGTGTTTGTGTGGTTCTGCAGGCTGATCCGAGCGGGCCGAGCTTCCAGACTTTATTCAACAACACCGAGCAGACCCTGAAGGTGCGTGATGGATGGATGGATCATCACTAGCAAATTTTTTGCATCTTGTGTTTCTCTCTTGCTGGTTGATGATGTCATCGTTTGAGCCGGGTGTTCACATGCATCTCAGCTGTTACCTGCTACTGTTCCAGGTGGAGTTCACCTCTCTAGACTTCCTGCTTCACGCCAAAGCTCTGCTATCGACCGTCAGCTACCTGAACAGCGCCATGCCTCCACAGCTCAGCGCCGTCCGTGATTCAGGCTCCAAGAAGCAGATGGAGACTACTGCTCAGAGTCAGACAGGTGAGTGTGTTCTTTCTGCTCCCAGGTGTGTGAGGTGTGCTGTGTCTGACAGAAGGTGCCTTTCTGCAGCATCCAAGGGAGGCAAAGACAGTGACGTCTTCAGCTTCAAGCTGTTCGCCGTGTTGGGCTGCTTCCATGTGGAGGTGTGTGATGATCGCCGCAGCATTGCTGACATCAGAGTTCAAGGTAAGAGGTGTAAAAATGAGCCGCGTCCTGCAGGCGGGGGAACAGGGTCCGGTGTGACTCCGCTGGTGTGGGCTCTCTGTAGGAATCGATGCGTCGGTGTCCGTGCAGGCGAAGGAAACAAAGGTGTTCGCTCGACTCCTAGACATGGTGGTCACGGACGCTAACCCCAAAACCATCCACAGACAGGTCAGCAGTCCACACACACACACACATGAACACACACACACACACACACGCGTTAAGGTTTGATAACACATCTTCTCTCCTTTAGAATCGTTCAGACCAAACAAATCAGCTCCATTAATTAATAGCAACGGCATCTGTGAGTAGATGAATAACTGTTCTCCTCTTCCTCCCTCCTTCCCCTCCCAGGTCGTGTCCATCGTAGGTAAGGAGGTGTTCAGCTTCGAGCTGTCTCTGTTTCCGGGGGCGACGGAGGGTGAAGGTTACAGCGACACATCAAAGGTGGACGGAAATGTCAAGATGAGTCTGGGCTGCATCCAGATCGTCTACCTGCACCAGTTCCTCATGTCTCTACTGGTCAGCAGTTTTACACGCACGCACACACACACTCACACACACACACAAGCTGGTTGGCTGATAACCAGCTGAGGGAGTTCTGATATTCGGGGAACCAGGAGATAAACCTGCTCTACATGAAGAACTGTGATGTTTCACCACATCCTCAGCCTGTTTGTGCTGCTTATGCAATCACAGGTCCTCAAACCCTCCTCATCATGTCAGAGTCGGACGCAAGATGTCCGATGTCTCTAGTGTCCCTGTCTTTAACATCTCTACTGTCTCCAAAGTTTCTAAGCATTCTAATGCCTCCGTCTTAGATGGCGTCTGCCATTCCTGAAAGCTTTCTGGCATTTCTATGTCTCTGATGTCTCTGATGTCTTCCATGTCTCTAATGTCTCTTGTTTTGTTGGTGTGTTTTATTTTTGCAGGCTTCTTTTAGCTTTCAGTGTCCGTCTGCTGATGAGGTACAGCATCCAGCATGCAGCTCTGAACTGCATCAAACCGTTTGCTTTACCTTCACTCAGCACCGCTGCACCTTCAGTCCACCTGTGACTCATTTGACTTCAGAGGGACTCGCTGATCTGGTTTCATGTGACTCACGGAGTTAAGGTTGTTCAGGATGAGGTGGTGCATTCAAGGACAATTAGCCCTTTGAGGTTTGAGATCCAGATGGTTCTCTAGGCCAGGGATTCCCAAAGTGTGGTGCGCGCACCCCCGGGGGTGCGAGAGGTGGAAAGTGTAATGGCTGCGGAGCTCAGAGAAGTCTGTCATATGTCACCATTAGCGTAGCCAGAAACTCATTTGTGGGTGGGCCAAAGAAAAAGTAAGTGGGCACAATAAATGTAATTGAAAACAAGTATATTTTTGCGCGCGCGCGTGTCCTCCACATGTGCCCTAGCTTCATAATAACAATGCGCCGAGCTTCAGCACTCTGGCCTGCGCACGCCGATATGTTCCGTATTTGATCATTTTTAACGGTGTTGGAGAAATCTGAAGGTGGCGAGTCATTCTGGCAGATTGTAATTAACACCTGTCTCATGCAGGTGTTCTGACGTTGTAAACCTCACACACAGAACATTGTGGATGTAACTAAATAAATCAAGAAATGATTCCCATTCAGGCTATTAACAGCGCGCTGAAGATCTGAAGTTCAGAGGTCAGACGCATTCCAGCGGAACCACGGCTCACGGGTGCACAAGTGAGCACATATGGGCTGGGCAGAAGTCATTTTACAACGTTGGTTTAAATAGCGCCAATAACGAGACGCGGTGACTTAAACGCTGCAAGTTGTGAAGCGCGTTCCATCTGCGAGCCGCATCACCAAGCGGGAAGTGAATGCATCAAGCATAAACCAAGCTTCATGGAGCTGTGCCGCGCGCGCGCACACACACACACACACACACACACACACACAGGTTCAATAAGCGCGCACGCTGCGCAAACTCCGGCGCGCCGTCAGTCTGAAAGCAGAAATGAGCGCTGCCTCCTCTGTGATAAAAACTTTTAAGAGGTTTTATAACAACATTTTTCATTCAAGGTCAAATTAAGATATTAGATTCTGTTTTGGGATGACGTATTAAAGTCGGGTCCGCTCCAGCTAGTGACTCCTCATGAACCTGACCACATCTCATGTTACTGCAGCATTTGTTGTTCCAGTCCGCGTGGCAGCGGATCGCAGATTCAGCCACACCATAAAACAGCAATAAGTCGGTCTGAGGCAAAAGTGAACCTCATGGCTATATCGTTTCCATATTTTCCCCTATAGACATTTGATTACGCACAAGTAGGTGATCAGTTCAGGTTTACGCAGAGCAGAAGGAAGGAGAGCGCTCTGGCCGCACAGGTTAAACATTCCTACTTTAAGAAAACCGTTAAATTGCGTTGTTTATGTGCTACCTGGGCACTCTAAATATTTATTTAAAATTAAATCAAAGGAAATTGTAATGTATCGAATGTTTATTAATTGCTATTTAAAAAATGAAAGTGATGGGGAAAAAGGTCGATCATATTTTTTTTAACCCTGTCTGTTTAGCTTGACGTCTGATATATATATATATATATATATATATATATATATATATATATATATATATATGTATATGTATATAGCCATGCTTTGATGTGGGGGCTGGGGGGTGCGTCGACATGGTCGGGACATAGAAGGGGGTGCGCGGCTAAATAAGTTTGGGAACCGCTGTTCTAGGCAAATAACCAGCCATAACATTGTAGACATCTGAGGTTCTGATGTGGTTTCTGGTTCCATCAGTAGAAGGTCCTTTGAGATTTGGAAGCTCTAAAGTGGAATATCCACAAATTGTGTGTCCAAATCTTCCCACAGATCCTGGATCAGATCTGATCGTTTTATTCTGTACCTCAAATGGTGCTTGAAGCATCTCTGCATCAGTGCTAATGGGAAGCCGGTCAGTAGTCTGAGCTCCTAGAGCTCTTCTGTTGGATCATCCCTGTTTTTCACTTCGTCCTTTAGTGGTCATGATGTTTTTGGCTGATTCTGTTTGTTTGTTAGCATTAGAAGGTAAAAATACAAAGCTAAGGCTCAGATGTCGGCTTGTTCTTAAACTCACCATGATGAACCAAAGGGAAGGAAGTCGTGACTCCGGAGAAGCTGAAGGTCTGCAGCTGGATTTGTTGTTGATCACATGGACACCAGAAGCTCTGTGAAGCTGCTTGTGTTCTGGATAAAAGCACGGGTCATAGGTTCGGTTCTGACCCCCGTCCATGACGATCTCTCTGCTGTCTGGACCTCTGAGGCGGAGATATTTGTCCGTAAACATCACCTGGACAGCTTAGAACTGCTGGTTTGGTTCAACACTTTAGTATAATCTTTATGAAAAGTTCTGTTGAAGCCCCACCCTCTTGTCTGAGACTGTTAGAATCAAGCCCCGCCCACCCAAGGCATTGAGGTGCTGAAACCAAACACTGTGAAGGATTAAGGACAGAACGAGGACAGACGAACGAGCGTTTCTTCATGCACTAAACTGCAACCAGACCTCCATCTGCACCTTGCCACTCAGCAGCCATCACCCCCCCCCCCCCACTACCCTTTTCAATCACATGACCTCTGCCTGTGTGACCTCACTTCCTCCCCTTAAATGTTTTTGATATTAACTCTTGTTTCATAAATTAAGCTTGAAGATATGAACCTTGAGCCCTCTGATGATCTGAGTAGGTTTAGAAATGAAACAATCGGCCGTCTCGCCCGAGGAGCTTCATTAATGCGTGCTAGTTTACCAAACAAACCCCTGGTCCTCATCCTGAGAGGTCGGGGGTCTAGGATGGCCTGGTCCACCTCAGAGACATTCTGACCACCTTCCTGAAGATGAATGATGCTGTGAAACTTTGTGGATCAGATTCAGGGTGACAGTGGAGCTACTGGAGGGTTGGAACATCAGACCTTCTTTTAAAGTGCAGCCCTCAGAAGGTCTGATTATTAAACAGCACGCGTGAATTACGCTCTCACTACAAGTTTTGAAGTATGTTTTTCTGGCTAAACAATAAAACAAAGTCCAGTTACCTTCTGAACCCACGCTGATCATCAGCAGCATCTCGGTTTCAGAACATGAGCTGAAGCTGACATGCGACCATAGAGACGGTTGTTTTCGTGAGGTTCATTTTATTCCAAGTTGTTTATGAAACGGAGAGGAACCTGAATGCTCCATGCAGGCCGTGAACGCCTCACATTGGCCCCCTGACTCTTCTCTGTAAACCTCCATCTTGGTGCTGATCACCTTCAGCCCCTCACTCCTGATTGGTTGTTTTTCAGGTGTTTGTGGACAACTTCCAGACGGCTAAAGAAGCTCTCAGTGCCGCCACAGCCCAGGCAGCAGAGAAGGCGGCGTCCAGTGTTCGAGACTTTGCTCAGAAGAGTTTCCGTCTGTCCATGGACATCAAGCTGAAGGCTCCTCTGATCATCATCCCTCAGTCCTCCACCTCCAAAAATGCCCTGGTGATGGATCTGGGTCTGATCACGGTGGGGAACAGCTTCGCTCTGCAGCCGACTAAAGGTTTCCCTCTTCCAGCTGTGGTGGAGAAGATGGATGTCAAGCTGACGCAACTGAAGCTTTCCAGGTACCAACATCAAACTTCTTCTGGAAGAGAAAAACAGTCTGGGAGGTTAAATGAGACAGAGACATAAAGACCTCACCAGGTGGTTCTGGTTTGGCTCTTCTGAGGAGCGAAACAGTGCAGCAGGTTGATTCTGTGCATCTTCAGATGTTCCAACAGGATGAAACATTTTTGTTTTTAAACTTAACAAAAGACAAAACCAGTAAAAAATTTTGTGTTTTCAGAAAAATCCTGAATCAGGACCAACGTCATGACGACATTGAGATCCTTCAGCCAATCAACTTGGAGCTACTGGTCATCAGAAACCTGACTGCTTCCTGGTTCTCAGAGATTCCAGGGGTCCAGGTTCAGGGACTCCTCCGGTCTCTCAGTGTACGTTTCTCCTGAGTGCCACTGGTTTAAAATCAGGTAAAATGTTTCTTACCAATCTGTTTCTGGGTCTGTAGATGAGTCTGGGTGAAGAAGACCTCAGTGTCATGATGAAGATTCTGGTGGAGAACATCAGAGAGGGAAGCGAAGAACAGAATAAGAGACTGCTGGTCCAAGGTGTGTTCTCTCTCAGTAGTTTCACTACAGCAAACTCCTGATTCATTCTAGTTTAAATCCTGATCCGGTCCAGTTTAACTCCTGATTCAGTCTAGTTTAACCCTCCCACTGTCTTTTTGGGTGACCCCGCGAGGAAAGTTCACCATTGAGCAGGATTGATGGTTTATCCCTTGAGGTCCACGTGGCAGGGGTGAGGTGTTGCTCACTCCTCACCCCTGCCACATGGACCAAAGAGATAAACCATTAACCCTGCTCAATTGTCAACTTTCCTCGCGGGTTCACCCCCATTAGGATAGTGGGAGGGTTAAACCCTTATCCAGTCCAGTTTAACTCCTAATCCGGTCCAGTTTAACCTCTTGATCTGGTCCAGTGTGATTCCTGATCCAGTCTAGTTTAACTTCTAATCCAGTACAGTTTCACCTGCTGATCTAGTCCAGTGTGACTCCTTATTCAGTCTGGTTAAACCACTGATCCAGTCCATTTTACCCTCTTGATCCGGTCCAGTTTAACTCCTGATCCAGTCCAGTTTAATCTCCTGATCCGGTCCAGTTTAACTCCTGATCCAGTCCAGTTTAATCTCCTGATCCGGTCCAGTTTAACTCCTGATCCGGTCCAGTTTAATCTCCTGATCCAGTCCAGTTTAACCTCCTGATCCCGTACAGTTTAACCTCCTCATCTGGTCCAGTGTGATTCCTGATTCAGTCTAGTTTAACCACTGATCAAGTCTCCTTTAATCATTGATCCAGTCCGGTTTAACCTCCTGATCTTGTCCAGTTTAACTCCTGATCCAGTCTAGTTTAACTCCTGATCCAGTCTAGTTTAACTCCTGATCCACTCTAGTTTAAACCCTGATCTGGTCCAGTTTAACTCCTGATTCAGTTTAACCCCTGATCCAGTCCAGTTTAATCTCCTGATCCAGTCCAGTTTAACTCCTGATCCCGTACAGTTTAACCTCCTGATCTGGTCCAGTGTGATTCCTGATTCAGTCTAGTTTAACCACTGATCAAGTCTCCTTTAATCATTGATCCAGTCCGGTTTAACCTCCTGATCTTGTCCAGTTTAACTCCTGATCCAGTCTAGAGCCCCATTCCCACCTGTACCGGGTCGGCCCGGGCCGGGTAGCCCCAGTCGGCCCCAGCCTGGCCCGGTTGATTCCACACATCCTTGCCTTAAGCCCATGTGGGCTGATTCTACCCACCAATCAGAGGCTTGCTCTAATGGAAGGTGTGAATGGGCTGATTCTACCCACCAATCAGAGGCTTGCTCTAATGGAAGGTGTGAATTTGCTGTCAGCAGTGGGCGTGTTGGCCCTGGTCGGCCTGAAGCAGTACCCCTCGGGAAGAGGGCCGAGAATGAGCCTTGGTTGGCCCGGGAAAATTCCAGGCCACCCAGATATGTAAACAACCTACGCTACCCGGCCCGGGCCGACCCGGTACAGGTGGGAATGGGGCTTAGTTTAACTCCTGATTCAGTCCAGTTTAACCTCCTGATCCAGTCTAGTTTAACTCCTGATCCAGTCTAGTTTAAACCCTGATCTGGTCCAGTTTAACTCCTGATTCAGTTTAACCCCTGATCCAGTCCAGTTTAACCTCCTGATCCAGTCCAGTTTAACCTCCTGATCCCATCCACTTGAAACCCATGATCTGGTACAGTCTTTTAATTCAGCCGTGAGTCGGGAGCCATCCTCAACATCTTTTTTATCCTGAAGCGATCTACAGAGAATCAGGAGTGATCCAATTGGTGTTGACAACTCAGCAGGTGGATTAAACTACCTTGTGTCCACCTTGTCAGGGAAGACAGAGCTCGCTGAGCTGACAGAGGTGGCGCTGTTGCAGCCGGGTTCTGCTGGAGTGATGGTTACTACAAATGGAGGACTGACAGAAAACACCATTAATGTTCTACTCAACTTTGAAGTTAAAGAGGTAGAAAGTCCGCCAAGGATCCAGCCAGGATCCATTGATTGTCCCCCCAGCTTGGCGCACATCCTGCAGATCTGTTTCTTGTTTGGTTTGTAGGTGCTGCTGTCTCTGAAGAAGTCCATCGAGCAGAAGGAGTCTCCATTCCTGGTCTTCCAGCTGGATCACCTGGGAATCAACACTGAAGTCAGGAAGTATGACATGTCTGCTACCACCTACATTAGGAAGGTCTCCATGAAGTCCCTGGAATTCAAAGGTCAGAGTTCACTGAGCTGCATTGGGTCTGGCGTCTGATTAGCCCAAAAATTCAACCAGAAACCAAAATGACCCGACGCATCGGGCTTATGCCTGATTTATACTTCTCCTTCAGCTCCGCAAGGGAGAGACGCACACGCATTGACAGGCGTTTTGCTCTCAGACTTCTCCATCACCTGAATGTTGCAAAGCAATTCCCCACCAGGACAACAGAGGGCGTAGCGTTGTTCTGTGGTATCCTGCCACCATTTCATGTGTTTATAAATGTCAGAGACTTTATAACATGGACTTATTTGTCCTTTAACCTCCTCCACCTCTTACCCCACGTTTCCCATCATTTCCATCCATGAATAAAGCGTTTGCTCCTCATTTTTGTACTCCTTCAGTCATGGGTGAATACACGTTCATATTTTCAGACTTTTCCTCAATGCGTTCTTCAATCTGTTCCGTGTTTTCTGCTAAATATCTTTTTACTTTTTACCTGGGGCAATTGCAGTGCTGTTGACAAATTTACAGGAAGCAGCATCCTGACCAATCACAAACCTGCGGTCTCCGTCACCCCCTGTGAGCCTGTCTGAGAGCCCTTGCGCTGACGCTTATTGGCGTTGTGTGTCTCTGGGCCGACACAGATGGAGAAGTATAAGACAGGCTTTACTCAGATCGGGTTCGGTATTCTTCTCATGCATCTTTGGTTGGAGATTAAGAACTTTAGTTCTGTTGGGTGCGGGTTGTAAAAGTGTTTCTTGTTTCAGAACCGAGTGGCGAGCCGCTGTGTCTCATCAGCTCTTCAGTGTACTCAGACAGCTCGCTGCTTAGTGTGGAGTATTGTAAGGTAAGGACAGATGTAATCAGATTACCTGCTCATTGTGGAATATTGTAAGGCAAGGACAGATGTAATCAGATTACCTGCTCATTGTGGAATATTGTAAGGCAAGGACAGATGTAATTAGATTACCTGCTTATTGTGGAGTACTGTAAGGTAAGGACAGATGTTATCAGATTACCTAGTCATTGTGGAGTACTGTAAGGTAAGGACAGATGCAATTAGATTTCCTGCTCATTGTGGAGTCTTGTAAGGTACGGACAGATGTAATCAGATTACCTACTTATACTGTGGAGTCTTGTAAGGACAGATGTAATCAGATTACCTGCTCAGTGTGGAGTACTGTAAGGTTAGGACAGATGTAATTAGAGTACCTGCTCATTGTGGAGTCTTGTAAGGTAAGGACAGATGTAATTAGATTACCTGCTCATTGTGGAATATTGTAAGGCAAGGACAGATGTAATCAGATTACCTGCTCATTGTGGAATATTGTAAGGCAAGGACAGATGTAATCAGATTACCTGCTCATTGTGGAATATTGTAAGGCAAGGACAGATGTAATTAGATTACCTGCTTATTGTGGAGTACTGTAAGGTAAGGACAGATGTAATCAGATTACCTAGTCATTGTGGAGTACTGTAAGGTAAGGACAGATGCAATTAGATTTCCTGCTCATTGTGGAGTCTTGTAAGGTAAGGACAGATGTAATCAGATCATCTACTTATACTGTGGAGTCTTGTAAGGACAGATGTAATCAGATTACCTGCTCAGTGTGGAATACTGTAAGGTTAGGATAGATGTAATTAGATTACCTGCTCATTGTGGAGTCTTGTAAGGTAAGGACAGATGTAATTAGATTACCTGCTCATTGTGGAGTCTTGTAAGGTAAGGGCAGAAGTAATCAGATTACCTGCTCATTGTGGAGTCTTGTAAAGTAAGGGCAGAAGTAATCAGATTACCTGCTCATTGTGGAGTTCTGTAAGGTAAGGACAGATGTAATTAGATTACCATCTCATTGTGGAGTAATGTAATGTAAGGACGGATGTAATCAGATTACCTGCTTATTATGGAGTACTGTAAGGTAAGGACAGATGTAATCAGATTACCTGCTCAGTGTGGAGTACTCAAGGTCTGTTGTAATCAGATTACCTGCTCAGGTACAGAGGTGAGTTATTTGTGTATTTCCTGAACTACCGGTCTGCTCCTCGTTAGGCAGACCGCTGTGGACCATCCTTCTCCACCATACACAAGAACACCGAGCAGATGATGAGCGTGAGTTTACCTTCATCAGCAGTAGACTGGTTCTGTAGAAGCTGGACCTACTGGTTTGTTCCTGTGGTTTCTGTCCTCAGGTCACTTTCACCACGCTGGACGTCGTGCTTCACACTGAAGCTCTTCTGTCAGCAGTTAACTTCCTGTCCACGGCTCTGTCATCCGGCAGCGCTCCATCTCCAAAGGAGGTCCAACCAAAGGCGCAAGAGAAGACCGCGTCAACCAGGTCCAGTCAGTACCACCCAGAACCTCACATGATGATCACGTGTGTTTGAGCTGGAGCTTAGCGTGTTTGTTGTCTTGTCAGCTGCCCTGGTCTCACCGGTGGACTCCAAGGTCGTGGATCTGGAGGTGAAAATGACTCTTGGAGCTTTCAATGTGCTGGTTTGTGATCAGACCTGCAACATGGCTGACATCAAGGTCCAAGGTATGGAGAACCGAGCCAGAGCTTTTTCGCAGATGATCTACTTGATCTGACCTTGGTGACTTTTTCTCAGGTATTAACGGGTCCCTGCTGGTTCAGGGACCTCAGACCCACGTATCCGCCCGACTCAGAGACTTCCTTGTTCTGAATGTGGATCCAAATAGCATCCACAAGAAGGTCAGTCCGTTCCTCTTATCCAAGTTTAGGTCGAGCATCAAAACATTATCAGTGGAATGTTTTTACCTCTGACCTCTGACCCCTGAATCTGACAGACAGAAAAGCATCCTAACTCGAGGGATAACTCAGAGTGAAGTTTAATGGATCAGCTGTTTGTTTGGATCAGGGAGCATCCATATGCTCATGGTTCCTCAGCGTCTAACATGCAGAGTCTGTCCTTCAGGCCATCTCCATCATGGAGGACGAGGTGTTCAGCTTCAGCATGAGTTTGACCCCAAACGCCACGGAGGGCGCCGGGTACACGGACACCTCCAAGACGGATGGCCGGGTGAAGCTGAACGTGGGCTGCATCCAGGTGGTCTACCTTCACAAGTTCATCACGTCTCTGCTGGTGAGTCTCACAGCTGGACACCAGGAAGACCTTCCGCTCGACCGGCTTCCTACTGGTCTGGACTCTGGAGTTCTGGTGCTTTTAGAGTATTAACACTTTTCAAAACTAGTCGGAAACCAGGAGTTCTTCTGATCCTTCAGATTGAAGCTTCCACCAAAAAAAAAACCATTCAAACATCAGATGATTTTACCTTCATGGATGCTTACAGCTGACGTTCTGGATCAGATCTTTCTGGGTTCATAATTTGTGTGAAAATGTCCCAGATTTTATTTTAGATTTTCCCCGTCTCTGTGTTTTGGTTCTTGGGTCGTGACTCTGGTCTCTTCGTGCTCTACAGCTACTTTTAAACTTAACTTCCCGCAGAATTTCACCAACAACTTCCAGACGGCTAAAGAAGCTCTGAGCAGCGCCACGGTGCAGGCAGCAGAGAAGGCGGCGTCCAGCGTTCGGGGCTACGCCCAGAAGACTTTCCGTCTGTCCATGGACGTCAGGCTGAAGGCTCCACTCATCATCATTCCTCGTTCCTCCACCTCCCATGAGGCGCTGGTGATGGACCTGGGTCTGATCACGGTGGGGAACAGCTTCTCTCTGCTGCCTGTCTCAGGATGTCCGCTGCCGGCCGTCATTGACAGCATGGAGGTCCAGCTGACGGAGCTGAAACTGTCTAGGTCGGGTTCTGATCTACTAAACCTTTTATGTAAACAACCTATCAGAGGTTTATCCTATTTTAACATAAATATTTTTGTTTCAACTTAAAAATACAATAAATATTTGTGCGTTTGTTTTTTTCCCCAAAGCTAATTACAAATGAGGACGTAACTATTTAATAAACTTGGTGAGAAATGACGTAAAACCTTTATTTATTCTGAGAAGCTAAATGCGGCCTAAAGCAGCTGCTATTTATTGTTTTGTTTCATAGAGTCGCTTCATACTTTCAGTGATCTGATATAAATGTGAGGTTCTTGTGCATCAGAACCTGTTTGGACCCAGACTCATGCCGACCCAACATCGAGCTGCTGGAGCCGCTCAACCTGCAGCTGGGTGTGAGGAGGAACCTGTCAGTTGGCTGGTACCAGGAGATGGCCGCTGTGGAGGTGGATGGAGACCTCAAGCCCATGAAGGTAGGAAGAAACGGAACACATCACAACGAGGTCACAGTGAAATTATTGTTCATGTGTGAAATGTGCTGGTCCAGTTCTGTCCCGGTAAACCACCAAGGTGCTGTTTTCTCTCCTCTTGAGTTTTGACGGGGTCTTCCCTAGACCCACGTCAGACTCTAGAGGCCCTATGCTAAGCTAGGTTAACATGTTTGTGTCCTAGTGGACCTGTTGGAGCAGAGCTTGGTTCTGTTCTGATCCTGTTCCGTTTGTACAGCTGGAGCTGAGTCAGGACGACCTGAGAGTCATGCTCTGGATCCTGACGGAGAACCTGGGAGAGGCTTCTGGTCCGAGTCCCAGTGCTCCCAGACAAGAGGCTAGTCAGCAGGTCCCAGCTTTCAGGAACCCCCCCACAGGTCCGACTCAACCCGAACCTTGAGTCCCATTAGTCAGGTTGTCTTATTTAACGTCACCGGTCTTCTACCTGTTCAGGTGAGTCTGAGAAGCCACCGGAGAGCAGTGGCAAACCCGTGGAGACTGTCCGGTTTAACTTCAACATTGAGTCTCTTGGTCTGGTTCTGTACCACAACGACCCCAAGCAGGTTAGTCAGAACCGGGTTAAATGTGAGGTTCTTGTGGTTCTGGTCTTACTGTTCTCTGTTCTCGGCAGCCCACAGGCCTCCAACACCAGCAGAACCTCAGACTTGGAGAATTTGCCCTCCAGCTGCTGAAAACGTCAGGAAAGATCCTGAATGACGGCAGCATGGAAGTGAGCACGGTTCTGACTGCCTGCACGCTGGATGACCTGAGGACGGGGATGGACC